GCGGCTTTGGAGATTCGGGCAGCCCAAATGTGGTGGCACGTAAAAGAGGGAAGTAACATGTATGAGCAGGATTTCACAAGGGAAAATCGCTTGGTTGGAGTTCTATGGAGTAACAAGAGGGACAGCGCAGTTTGTTTCGCTCCTTCAGAGTGGAAAGAGTGCAGGCTTGGAATTCAGATGCTACCTCTATTACCGATCACTGAGGCCTTGTTTTCAGATGTTGGCTTTATTAGGGATCTTGTGACGTGGACACTACCGTCTTTGAGTAGGGAGGGAGTAGGGGAAGGATGGAAAGGCTTTGTCTATGCCTTGGAAGGGATTTATGACAGAGAAGGCGCTTTGGGGAAGATAAAGAACTTGAGTGGTCACGATGATGGTAACTCGCTTACAAATCTTTTGTGGTGGATCCACAGCAGAGGAAAGGAAGGACAGGAAGTCGGACTTGGACATAATGTTTCCTGGTCCGGGCTTTATCATTAAACTTGTTGCATTGTAATTTGTGATTGTGATTTCGTTCTCCGTTATATTTACTATCATGTTTTGATTGACATACATTTGTTCTTTCTTCCGAATTGAGAACTTTCTATCTATTTCGATCTGTTGTATTTACCTGTTATTGTTGAAACCAACTGCTTTTCGGAAATATATCATTTTACATGACTTTCATGTCAAGAAACATTGACACAACGGTGCGTGCAGGTTTCAAACGCAAGTACTTGAAACTGTAGATTTGACGCGCAATGATGTCGAAGAGGAGGCATTCCGTTGAATCGCTCATCCATCTCACACACACATACATATATGCGTTCATTTTTTTCCTTGGGACATTTTCTCAGCAACCAAGCAAACAAAACGCGGCGAACATGAATTCGATATTCGACGAAAACAAAAGAGAAACCATATATCGGATGCGAAAGCAGATTACAGAAAATGAGGTCGAAATTAGTGAATTAGATACGGAGGAAGAAGAAGGGCGTACCTCAGCTGAGAAATCGGAGTTGGAGTTGGAGAGAAAGGGAGACGGAGAAATTTGGAAGTGCGCGCGTTTAAGTACGCGGTTTGTGCCGTTGGGAATGGGATTCCGCGGTCATTTGGGTCATTAGCCGCCGGTTTGTATGGCCCAAAACGATAATTGGGTTACAAAGTTGTTGGAGGCTTGGAGGAGTTCAACATTGATAAAGCCCATTTGTCCATAGCCCATAAGAATTTCCCCATTTTAAGTTGAATAATAAATTCATTATTTATTTAATACAATGACATCAAGGTGGACTTGAGCTAAATACGTTAACCACAATTAGGTATCAAATTCGTCATTTATGAAATTCGAAGTTGAGACCTTTCACTTATAAATTGAGAGGAATATCACTAGTTTTGAAGTGCTACTAGCTAAAACTTTTTTTCTTCTTCTTCGTTTGAGTATATCGATTTTTTTTTTTAAGTACACTAATGAGTGTGAGATTTAGTCTTAAGTCACATATGTGAATTAGGCTAGTTGATCAGGGCACTATGTCGGTCTCTTGCAATTGAGTCCGCACCCTCCTGCATATAGACTTTGGTAGTTTAGAATATTGAATTTTTCACGAACTCATTTACAAAACTTGTTATGTTGTTATTGTCATTGCCACCATTCATCTTTAGAGTTAACGTGAGCCTCACAACCATCATTATTCATTCTAAATATCACCACTTATCATCATCATTGTATATTTTACACTGACAAAAATTCATAATCAAATGTCGTAGTCATAACCATAAGTAAAGAAAATTAATTTATAGATCCTAAAAGTCAAAATTATATCTCAAAACTCAAGTTGCATATTCAAATCCTAGTGTATCTATGTTTTTCAAATATTATGTCATTTTCATATAAAAGGCCTTGTTGCAATATTTTTAGGTCAATGCCCTTGTTGGAATGGTGTTGTTATGCTATAGGACAAAGCAAAAGCCACATTAAGTTGTCCACCAACATAAAACAAAATTAGAGAGTAAGGAAGGAACCATTGCAGTTAGCCTGTCTCCACGAGAATGCCTGCATTGCATGCCATATTCTGTCATTAGCTCAACCAACAAACCTCTCTTTCAAAGCCTTTGAGTTGAAGATTTCAAGATTATGAGATGGCTTTGCATTATTTAATTAGCGAAACCACTTTATAAAACAACTCAAGAGACAAAAGCCTTCCTTTTTAATTTCGAGAATAACTTATATGTAACTGGTTTACTGTTATTATTTTGTCTCGATTTATAACCTATTAATTTAAGAACAAAAACTTACACACAACCAACAACTAAGTCTTACCCCACTACGCCACTAAGTAGGGTCGGCTATGAATCATATACCGTCATTGTGCTCGGTTTTGTGCCAAGTCTTCCGCTAGCTCCAAGTATTTCATATCTTTTCCTATAGTCTTTTTGAAAGTCTTCCTAGGTTTTCTCTACCTCTTTTGTTACGAGTCTTCGTTTCATAGTCGCATCTTCTAAACAGAGTATCTGTAGGCCTTCAGTTCACGTGTCCAAATCATCTTAACCGATTTTCTCTCATTTTATCTTCAATTACAATCACTCCTATTTTACTAGGATATCCTTGCTCTTAATACAAAAACTTACACATAACAACGCATTATTAATACGTAATGCCACATGTGTGAATCCAATCCATATAGATGCTTCTCACCTCAATAGCAAATGAAACAAATAAAACAAGTTAAAAGCTGGGTTTTATAGAATTGTTTATTGGCGTTGATCAACATTCGCACATTCGGACATCATGGGAGTGATGAGGGAATGAGATCTCGTAGTATTTGTTTATTTAAATCACCTCATCTATCTAATTATTGTTAATCCTTTATTTTAAGCTTTGGCGCTGACTAATTGTTTCAAGTCCGACGCGGCCTCGTTATTTGACTATTCTGTTTTTTTCATAAAAAAACTTTGTATATTCACCTCCGTTGATGAAATATTACCACAGTCACGTAATATTTTTACTGTAAAAGTTTTTAACCTAAGTAACAAATTGAAAATCTTATTAATCAAGCAGTGTATCCACTTGTTTACATCTTATATGCGACCGTGCGAGCCCCTCCATATTCCTCATTTTGCTCATCAGCTTATTGGGTTTTAACAATCGTTTTCAGTTGTTGTTTTGTATGGGAAGTAGGTTAGCAAAAGTGAAACTCAAAAGAATTGACGGGAACGCGCATAAATGGTGGACTAAGTAATTTAATTCGATGCAAAATAAAGAAAATTTATTAGAACTTGACATGCTGAGAATCCTCTTAAAAAAGTGGCTCCTTTGAAAAAGCTATGGTACATGCATGATTGTTATCAACTCGTGTCATAAGGTGTTGGACAAGTCCTCGACAAGTGCAAATTTGAATAGCTTAAAAAAGGAGGGAAAAGCAAGAACGACTAAATGTAAAAACTTGTGCTGCTACTATTTAGGATGGAAGCACCCACAATACGTTTTGCTTAAAAATTGAGCTTGTGGTGGGGTTTTTCGAAATTCTACAGGTTAAATTTTTGGTGGTTTTTCTTTGAACTTGAGTTGTCATACTTTTTATTATGTGGAGTTTCGTGTTGTTATCATTGTTGAGGTCTTATGCATGGTGTTGACAAATTTATAGCTTGAAAATGACTCTTCTATTCTCCTCCTTGATCGATTTGGACTCGTTGGAAAAACCGCATTTCCCAGTTGCAATACATGGTTTTCCTCTCATACGTATCAAGAAAGGAATGCAATTGTTGACAAATTAGCCAATTGAGGGCTTCTTTGGTCTTCACATTTTGGTATGCCGCTTTTCAAAAAGAGTAAGGTTTATGTCCTATCTTTTTATGTATTTTATTTTTCTTATTTTATGAGAAGTAATATTTATATCCGTTGATTAGGTGTAACTTTTTTTCATTTTAATAAAATTTTCTCGCACCACTAGGTTCCTAAAAAAAAGTTTTGCTTAAAAATCAAGTATTTAAAGCTTGAAAGGGTTGTTCTTCATTATAATTTTTTTTTTTGGCCAATTTCTTCAATATAATTGAATTTAAAAGAAAAAGAAAAATATAATCAAATATAAGTTTTCTGTACACCTTAGTTGCGGAAGTAAACTTGAACATCAAGTAAAAGTTTGAAATATCTTCGTGAACATTACTAAAATTCAATTAGCAGAAAAAAATAATGAGCAAAAAATTAAAATTCAAAAACAAGAAATATAAACAGGAAGGAACAGCTAATGAAGGCGTTTACATATTCTAAGCATAAAATTTGTGACCGTGCTTCTCCTCTCAAGTAATTTTACAATCATAGTTTTTGGCTGCCAACTGCCGCTCTGCATGTGAAGTCTCTCTCGCTAGTCGCTCTCCTTCCGAAGTCGCCCCCACGTTTACTAAGCGTGTTTTGGTGTTTACACCTTTTTTTTCTTGAACTCTTTACCATTTCCCAATAAAATATCAAAGCTTTCTGGGAAAACATTGCCGCATTCGAAGATTCCACCATTTCCGAGATAGGTACGAACTTGCTCGAGCTTTTAGCATCTGGGTTTTGTTTTAGAACAGTTTTGGCAATTTGTATTGCTGCATTTTCCCTGTACAGTTATAAGCTTGTAGTTGTAGTAGTAATAAATCTGGGTTTTAAAGCTTGAAGCTTGCAGATGGTGGGCTTTTTTGATCTGGTTTGTGCTCAAATTTTGGGGTTTTGGTTGTTAAATTTGTTCTTTCGAGGGATTTGTGAACTGGGTAGTGCTTAGATTCTGTGAATTTTGGTTAATCTGAAACTTTCCAGGAGTTTTGGGAAAATGTCAGGAAGTTGAAGAAGGCAATGGATTTTGCCATGGAAAATTTGAATTAGGGTTTTCTGACATTTGGGATTTGTATATTTGTAATGCAACGGTCTCTGATGTATAAATACCAGTATAAGTGACTATTTTTGTGATTGAATTTGGAAAGTTTGGTGATGGAATTGATATAATAAAGCCAAAAAAGTAGCAAAATTTAGCATTCAATTTCACATAAACATGTCTTCAACTTCACCTTCTCCAAATTCTTCCCCTTCTGCGGTCTCACCGACTTCATCTGATACCACAACACCACCGCCATCAAATTCTTCAACTACCACAACAACTACTGCAACCCCTTCTGACGCTTCACCTCCCCCTGCCCAATCTCCTCCTCCAGCATCACCAGCTGCCCCCTCTCCAAAATCATCACCACCTCCGTCAACTCCGCCACCAACTTCACCACCACCTTCGCCGCCTGCAGCTCCACCCCCATCATCTACTGCTTCTCCAACCGTAGGCACCACCCCCATCATCACCTCCTCCAGCAGCACCACCACCTTCTCCACCAGCTGCCTCTCCTCCAGTTGCGTCTTCACCTCCATCAGAAGGTTCTCCCCCTCCCAAATCTTCCCCTACACCTCCTGCAGAAGCCTCACCTCCACCTAAATCCGCAGAGTCCCCGCCACCTTCGTCCAATTCTCCACCACCACCACAAGGAGAAGCGCCGAAGAAATCTCCTTCATCCCCCACTGGTACACCTCCTCCATCTGCTTCCAAATCTGCTCCTGCACCAGCTGATAAATCTCCCCCTGCATCCACGGTGCAATCACCACCTCCTCCCAGTAATTCATCAAGTCCCACTACCATACCACAGAAGCCAACTGCAAGGTCAACCACTGATGCCAATGTAACATCAAATGCCACATCCGGAAATAAAGGAGGGTTAGACACTGGAGGAGCTGTGACCATTGGAATTGTAGTTGGATTCCTAGTGCTCAGTCTTGTTGTAATGGGGGTGTGGTTCGCAAAGAAGCAGAAGAGAAGAAGAGCTGGAGCACATGTTGCCTACAACATGCCCTCCCCATTTGCTTCATCCCAGAATTCAGGTAACACATTGAGCATGCGTTACTTGAATTATGTCACTTTGTTGTTTGCTTGCTGACACTTTTTCAAACTTGCTTCATTGACAAGGAATTCTAGCAGCTGTTCCATACGAACTGGATGAGCTTGCTTATTCAAAACTTGCTTTATTTTCTTGTTCATTTCTGCCGTTCTACTTTCTTTTAGGGCCGTCAGTTCTTATACGGCCTTTAGGCTCTAACATTGTATAAAAGCATATTAGAAGTAATTGGATTCGAATTAATGGAACCTTTTCTGCTCTCCAGATTCGGCATTTCTTAAGCCCTATTCTCCAGCTCCCCTTGTAGGAAATGGTTCTGGCAGCGATTACATGTATGCACAATCAGATGGTGGCGTTAACAATTCAAAGTCATGGTTCACATATGAAGAACTAATCAAAGCCACAAATGGGTTTTCGAAACAGAATCTTTTGGGCGAAGGTGGATTTGGTTGTGTATACAAAGGTGTTTTGGAAGATGAAAGAGAAGTTGCTGTAAAACAGCTCAAAATTGGTGGGGGACAAGGGGAGCGTGAGTTTAAAGCTGAAGTTGAAATTATTAGTCGAGTACACCATCGCCATTTGGTTTCCCTGGTTGGTTACTGTATATCCGAGCATCAAAGGTTGCTTGTCTACGATTTCGTTCCAAATGATACTCTTCATTACCATCTTCATGGTAAGCCTTCTAATTTTGAAAGCAAGACCAATCTAAAATGTTCTGGAACCAAATAGGGGGCTTGTGTTATATCCTGTTGTGTCCAATATTGATGTCTTTTAATTAAATTATTAACTAATAGTCCTTAAAGATGGCTACATTAACCTGTGCCAATAAACTTGCTAATGCTGCGCATGGTGCTTGGTAATTTATTTTTTAAAGTCACGGCATAATGTATCAAGCAATATTTTGGGCATTAGTAAATTTGAAGCGTAATTCTCTTCTGCATGCTGGTATCTTGTCAAAATTGTACCTCTTCTAACTTTCCTCTCTTGAAAGCTGCAGGTGAGGGCATGCCAGTCCTGGATTGGGCAACCAGAGTCAAGGTTGCTGCTGGTGCAGCTCGTGGAATAGCTTACTTACATGAAGATTGTGAGTTTCTTCTTTTGTTCTGGAACTCTCAATTTGGATTCAACTTTTCTCGACCTTGGTTTGATCGAGTGCAAACACATAATCAGAAATGACAGTTTTTCCTTAATTTTTTAATTAAATGAACAGTAGAATTTCCGTCAAATACAAAGTTACAGTTTTTTATTTATCCTATGTGAAACAGCCATTAGTCAATAATCATACAGAAATTATAGTGTAAACTAAGGTCCTCTACATAAAAGCTCATGTTAGTTTCCAATGCTTTTAACTCTCTAAACGACGTTAACAATTGTGGAAGAATGCTTTGTTGTCAAGACAATTGATGTATTTAAAACAAGCTAGCTTATTTCTGGAATTTAATAGTGTTTGGTGCTTTGCATAAATGAAATAAATATTATATGTATAAAGATTAGCTGTTTCCATACAAAGTTTGTTTCTCCAGTGCTGTATTTATCAGCATGCCTTTGAGGATCTAATTCTCCCTCTCACAGTATTTTGTCTTAAATGTGTTTATCAGGTCATCCCCGCATTATTCACAGAGATATTAAGTCGTCAAACATCCTTTTGGATAGCAACTTTGAAGCTCAAGTATGTTAGTCGGTTACAACCTTAATTTAAAAATAAAAACACTTCTATGCAGTTATAGTGATTGCTTCTAGTGCTTGCAACACAAGCGCATTTCCATCTCCTTTTAAGTAAGAGCCTTTTTGGCAGCCTAATAATCATATATTCATGGAATGACTACAATTTCCTCTTACAATAATTGGCAGCCAGAACACGTTTTCCCTGTCTCAGATTGTTAATCATTTGACAGCAATTAATCTTCTAACGACGAATTGTACTGGTTAACAGGTTGCAGATTTTGGGCTTGCAAAGCTAGCATTGGATTCAAATACTCATGTGACCACAAGAGTAATGGGAACATTTGGGTAGTTACCTTCACTTTTTTGGATCAGGATCCTTTCCATTTCTTCAATCTTTCCGTTGGCATCATTTGCTTTTTATATATTCTGATGAATGATATTGTGTGATTTTCCAGATACATGGCGCCAGAATATGCAACAAGTGGAAAGTTGACGGACAAGTCTGATGTTTACTCTTATGGTGTTGTGCTATTGGAGCTAATTACAGGTCGCAAACCTGTGGATTCTTCTCAGCCATTGGGTGATGAGAGCCTAGTTGAATGGGTAAATTCATAAACATTGTTGATATCTCCCTGTAGGTATTGGAAGTTATTTCTTTTCAAAAGTGCGTCTATGCCAATCATTATGAGACTATTTTTCGCTTTTCGCTAAATTCCTGATTTTTTTTTCTTTTTCCATCAATTACGGAGTTGTGCTTAGAATTTCAAAGGGCTCAAGTCTAATAACTGAGAATTCTCATACGGCTGAAGTAAAAAAGTGGCTTTCCGTTGGGCATGTTTAAGGTGGAGATTTTACCTGTTTGATGCTAACACTTTGATAGTCAGATAGCCGACACTCCTATCTTACGTCGAATCCTTGGGATGCAATCATACTAACTCACATGCACCGGATCCCATCAGAACTCCGAAGTTAAGCGAGTTTGGGCGAGAGTAGTACTAGGATGGGTGACCTCATGGGAAGTCCTCGTGTTGCATCCCCCCACGGCCAACCCCACCTGGTGGGAAAAGGCTTTGTTGTGTTGTGTTGTTGTATGCTAACACTCTGATGGATTGTTGTGGTTCTATCTAGCACAGTTAAGTCCTAGATTATAACATCTAAATTTTCCTGCAGGCTCGACCTTTGCTTAGTCAAGCACTTGAAAGTGAAGACTTAGAAGGGTTTGCAGATCCAAGGCTGGAAAAGAATTACGTCGAGAATGAAATGTTTAGAATGATTGAGGCGGCTTCAGCGTGTGTGCGTCATTCAGCTACGAAAAGGCCACGAATGAGACAGGTATTTACAGAATATTGCATGACACTTGCTCACATTTTATTTCGACTGCAGAGAACTAATAATCTTTGTCCCTATGCTAGGTGGTAAGGGCTTTCGACTCCTTGGATGAATTCTCAGATCTCAGTAATGGAATGAAACCTGGCGAGAGCGAAATTTTTAATTCTGCAGAACACTCTGCACAGATTAGAATGTTTCAGAGGATGGCATTCGGCAGTGAAGACAACAGTACGAGTTTTTTCAATCAAAGTCAGAGCAGCTGGAAGAGTAGAGACTCCCGAGAGCAAGGGTACCAAAATCAGAGAAGCTGGGCTAGTAGAGACTCTCAGGAGCACGGGGATCAAACTCAGAGCAGCTGGAGTCGAGACCAGAGAGAACCGAGAAACCCCAGTACCGCGATATCCGTAGATAGAACTGGGATATGGAACAACTGAGAGTTCAACCAACTGTTTGAGCCAGGGTAGGCTGTGTTGTGTTGCTCATTTCTTGTAAATCTTACACAAATCATATCATTTTCCATTTATTTTTGTGTTCTCTGCTAACATGATTTTGTTGACAGGATCCCAATTTCTGTATTCTTTTTGTGATTTTGATTCATTGATACAGTATATTGTATGTATCTTATTTGAAATATATAATTTTATCTGAATTATCCTTCTCTCCAAATACATGCATTATAGTTTTTCAATGTACAGATACACCAAATGTCATAATACAAGTAGTTGAAATTTTTTTTCTCCTCGACCCTGTGGCTAAGATTAAGATAAGATAAAATGCGGGCCCTGCTTGCATTCATTGAATTCTATATTCTATCTCGTAGTTATAGATGACTGGCACTTGTATATGTTTTTTTTTAGCCGTTTAGTTAAGCCGTAAGATCAAAATAAAATGGGACGATTGTGGGCTTCACATGCATTAATGGTGAAAACTGCTGCATGCATTAACGTTGAAATCTATATCCTATATCCTAGTTATTGATGACCGACACTTGTATATATTTTGTTTTGGCCATTTAGTTAATACGTAAGATCAAAATAAAGTGGGACGGTGTGAGCTCCACATGCATTAACGGTGAAAATTCTATTTATAGTACCAATCTCAATCAGTTAGTCTTAATCTAATCAATATTTTAAGTTCGATTCTCCCACCATCTAACATTCATTTCTTGGAAAGAGATCCTCGCCAGATCCTCTTTGTGTGGATCCTAGGAATCCTTCAATCACATCCGTTCATCGTGTATTGTATGGTCAGTTTTCGTCAGATACTGTTTATATTCAATTTTAAATAAAAAAAATTTATACTAATTTTTAACCGTATAATTTACGATGAACAGATCTGATTTGATAATCCCCCGAATGCAAGGATTCTTACTCCATTTCTTGTGTCAAAAGCAAAAACGGAATAACATTATATTCAGGGCGACACTTCAACCACAAATCTAGAATAAAATATAGTTGTTTGCTTAACCGTATTATTTTTAAAATATGAAAAATTCTGGACGCAGTTGCAACTTTCCAAAGAGTATGATTCTTGGCCAATCAAAGTTTGCCAAATGTACCAACAACCAAGTTGGATTTTGACGAACGGAGAAGCGTCACACTTTACTTACTACCCTCGTGCTTTCATCTAATCTTCTCCAACTACCATCGCAAAAAATAGAAGCTGCATCACTTTCGAGCTGCCGTTGTTGTTTATATCTAGTGTTGCATGAAACTTTAGAGAGAGAGAGAGAGAGAGAGAGAGAGAGAGATGGCAATGGAAGAAATGGAAGTCCCAAAACATTTGATGTCCTCTTCGGGGGAGGAACATAAAATTTGTGTCAAAAATGCATTCAGCTGCAGTTTAGATGCAAGAGATAGGAGGCTGGTTTGTGTGACCAGTGGGAATTCTCACTTGGGTTCTCACATAGTTAGAGCACTATTGGCCCGGGGTTATTTGGTCCGAGTAACCATTCAAAATGAAGGTACGTACCCCGTTTATATTTCGCGCATGACCCTCGAAATTTCGTTTTTGGCTTACCATGTTCGGTTTTGTTTTCTCAAACTATGTGTTGTGAGCAGTGGATTTTGAGGACATGAAGAAGCTAATGAGAGGTGAAGAGATAAGCCAGTTGGAGTGCGTGGTTGTGGCAAAGATGGGTGATTTGGATAATCTCTGCGATGCCTTTAGAGGTTGCCATGCAATTTTTCACACCTCCTCTTTTATTGATCCACATGGTACCTCTGGTTATTCAGTAAGTTTGTCAAAGCAGTGTGCTCGTTTCTTTGAACCGAGTTTGATTCACCTCCTCGTAGATTAGACTAGTTTATAATACTTTTCTGAGGTATTGCGGAATATTATACTATTGATCAGGAAAAAATGGCATTTCTTGAAACTGAAGGGGCAAGAAATGTAATTGAAGCTTGTGGGAGGGCAGCATATGCAAAGAGATGCATCTTCACTTCATCTCTCCTTGCTGCCATCTGGACAGGTGAAAACTATGAAGAAAAGAAGATCATTGATGAGTATAGCTGGACCAATGTGGAATTCTGCAGAGAAAACAAGGTATGCAAATATAAATATAAAAACTTTGAGGGCCTTTGAGTGAATTTTGTATTTGCTAATTGGTCACACCAAATAATATTTTTAACAAATTCATCATTTTACTTTGACTGATAGCTTTGGTTAGCCCTAGGAAAGACCACAGCAGAGATGGCTTGTTGGAGGAAGTCCAAGGAAATGAAGGTCAATCTTGTTACTGTGTGCCCTGGCCTCCTAATGGATGCATCTCATCCAAATGCTCACATATCCACTTCCATACCATATCTCAAAGGCAAATTCTCTCGTTCTGCATATCAATGATCTTAAAAACGAGACATATTCTCTTGCCAAATAGTCTCGACAGTTTAATATGAGACCACACTAGCAGTAACAACTTAATATGTCAGATTGTGTGATAAGAGAACGTCTCATCTAATACTTATTTTTGCATGTTTTTACACTCTTTCTATAGGTGGCAGGACAATGCTCAAACACGGTCGCCTGGCTGTGGATGACGTGAAGAAGGCGGCTAAGGCGCATGTCTGCGTTTACGAAGCGATGGACCATGGCGCCAGCGGGCGATACCTCAGCTTTGGGAAGGTTGTAACAAAAATGGCTGAAGCCATTGAGTTAGAGAATGGATTGAAGATTCATGGGTTGTTATCAGGAGAAGGACTTGAGGACTTGGGTGAAGAAACAGATGAAGAACTACAAAGCATGCTTAGTAATGCAAAGCTTGCCAGATTGATTGGAGCTTCACAAAAGTTGTCTTGCAAGTAGTGGAGGCACATGGCTGCATCATGAGAGAGAGAGAGAGAGAGCTAAAACAAAATTATTGCTCCTTGGTCCTTGATAATTGAGTACCCTTCGTTATACTGTGAAAGCATTTTTGTTTTTTTTTTCTTTCTTTCTTATTTTTGATTGGATGGATGGGATACTTTGTGCAAGACTAGCCATCCCATTTGTTGCAAGTAATTGCAAAGGTAGTGCTATCCACACACGTTTTTTTTAATTTTTACACATATTTTTCAATTTTTAACCATCAGATTGAGTGAATTGAAGATGATCAAATGATACGAATTAACAAGAGGTGTGTAGAAAAGTAAAAATGAGTGCGTAGATAGCACCATTCTACTTGAAATAGGTCTCAATGTACAAGTCTTTTTACTATAAGCAAATAACATTTAATTTAGAGAATCATTATCGACACTTTACAAATGTTTTCTTGTCACTTTTTACTGCGGTCTAATAATCTCTCTCTTCATTTGTAAGTGAAAGATATTAGGTTCGATTCTCGCGCAAAGGTAAATTTGAACCACATCATTACTAGCTTGTTATGAGGAAATATACTATTTTCATCATTTTAAAATTTTTTAGTAATCTTAAATTTCAACATCCAAACACAATACTACTTGACAAAGTGAAAACGGGTAAAATTTGGTGCCACGTGTCCAAAAATTGTTGGACCTAATAGAACTGCGGTAAACCCAAAAAGCCCAACTCACCCAACATTTAAGAAAACGTCCTCGAAACGACGTCGTTGACAGTTGGGTCATCCGTAGGCAAAGATAAAGAGAAATAAAGGAACAGGAGAGTGGGAGGGTTTGGTTGCGCAGCAAGAAAACAAACCAGTACCCAACTTAGTGTGTTTGTGTGTGTGTGATCGAAATTCGAAAGGACGAACGAGAGGAATCAAATCAATCAATCAAGCGATCGAGAAATTAAGAAGTGAAGAAATGGGTGAAGAGAGAGAGGATCCACAGCAGATCAAGAGAGCGGCGGCGGCGGCCTACGACTACGAGAACGACCCCAGGTGGGCCGACTACTGGTCCAACATCCTCATCCCTCATCACATGTCCTCCCGCAGCGACGTCGTCGACCATTTCAAGCGCAAGTTCTACCAACGCTTTATCGTCCGTACTCTGTCTTTCTCTCTTCCTTGTGCAGTTTCTTTAATCTGAGTGATTACTCACTATTAATTGGTTGCTGATTAGCGTTTGTTTCTTCGAATTTGGACTCTGAACACTTGAATCTCAATTGGGTTTCTTCTGTTTTGTGCAATTGGGGTCGTTTTTCCAATTGGGTAATTTTGGGTTTTGTACTCTGTTTCTTTGTTTGACGATGAATTGAAAATTTGGATTACTGATTTTGCTTCTGGATTTCGATTTTGGAAAGTTTAGGCAGAATTCAGTAGCCTTTCAATGTTGGGTTTCGATTATGGAAAGTTTGTGCAGAACTCAGTAGCTTTTCCAATTGTTCATACAGTTCAATTCTTTTCTTTTTAGATTTCTGAGTAAAAGTGAGATCTTGCTATTTTTGTTTTCAAAGGGGTTGAAGAATTATGCTTAGGGGTTTCAGTTTGTGGTTTTATCATTGTTTAAGAATGCCTTCTTGGTAAATGTTTCGGGGAATGTAATTTGGTCGGAGATGCATGGATTTTGTTAGAATTTTTTTTTTTTTAATTCTGTGCGCCTTGACAAAGTTTGTACCTGGATTTTGTGAATAGGATCCTGAACTTATGGTAGACGTGATGTCATCTAGCAGTTCTGCCCAGCCAAAGAGACCATCTGCCTCGTCCTGGACGACAAATGACCAAACTCAGCCCCGTAGCGCAGGTTGCTTTAATTTTTCTGTCCAAAAATTTGGATATGCCAAAATTTCTGTTTCCTTTCAAAGAAATGAAATTTATCTCAAAATAAAACTGTAGTTGCTTTCAGTAGCCTGGAATTTGTTGATTATAGTTAATTGACCTTGAATTGGTGTTTGTAGGTTCAACTCCAGGGACACCAGCAGCAGCTCCTCCAACTTCTCTGCGTTGGGATCAAAAAACCATTCAGTTTTCTGTAAACGCTTGGGTACTGTCAAGTCTACCCATGCATTGATAGAGTCAGATTTATTTTTATTTTTGTATCTATCTGTCAAACTCTTTCCTTACAAGGCGAATGATGTTTATAAATCAGCCTGATTTTGAAGAAATGTTGGGACTTCTTGTAGTTTTTCTTTCTAATTGACCTTCACAGTTTATCTTGTTCCCTTCAACCATGTTCTCTATGGGCAGTCTCAATAAACACTTTTCTGTAGGTTAGAGTTTATGTTTTACTTTTGACTCTATGGATTTTCAAATGCAACTGAACTGCTGTAATGTTATTCTTGTCCAGTTGGGCAAGGGTCCTTCTCTATGACAAATATGTGTGCTTCTTTTGAATCCAAAACTTACTGTTAACAATGACGTCTTGCTAAGTTCTGCTTACATTTTAATATGTCTGTTGTTATTGATTCCTTTTGTATGTCTTTCTTCCCTGCAGGTGTTTCTTGTGGCTGTGTTTGCAATTTTCCCACTGGTGCCTAGAAACCTTTCACATAGGGCATATCGGCTTTCCTTTATGGGCACTGCATGTTCATCTCTGTATTCCTTGTACTCGCTCTACGGGGTAAATCTACTTTCTCAGATTCAATCACTTGCTTTCTTATTTCATTAACTTGGATGTGCTGTCCTTGTTCATATTTGATTAACGCACCCTTTACTTTTCAGAAACCAAGGGCTTGGAACTTGCAGGCTTTTCAAGTGTACTTTCAGTCAATTATCATGACTAAGGATTTTATCTACTTGATGTACTGCCTTACCTTTGTCACATCACACCTTTGCCTAAAATGTAAGCATTCCATAATCCTCAAGTTTTGTCTTCTCTTTTCTTATATGTTTTCAATCTAAGTCGGACTCGTGTTCTTGGCATGTCTAGTTTAATGATGTGATGTTTATTGCAGTCGCGCTGATTCCCATTCTGTGTCGGGCTCTTGAGCACGTTGCCAAGTTCCTTAGGCGCAATTTTAGTCAATCCTCCTTGTACAGGTAGAAGAGTTGATGTTCAATAATGTTGCTTTATATTTACTTGTGTTAGATACCTGCTCCCATGGGGATAGTAGTATTTCAATTTTAAGCACTGTTATTTGCATCCAATTTTATTACGCTGTGGATTGCTAATTCTGATGCTGGGCATCAGGATAGTTTTCAAGATTTTTCGAGCGCATTTACTTTTGGTTTGATGTTCAGTCCAATCTAAATGAATAGTACCTTACCAGCATTGAGTTTAAATCTACCTGTTTTCTTTACTGAGCGATATCTTTTCTTCTGCCATGGTGAGCAGGAAGTACCTGGAAATGCCTTGTGTTTGGGTGGAGTCAAATACAACTACCCTCAGCATACTTTCTTCACATGCTGAGATCGGAGTTGGCTTCCTTCTGATTATTTCATTGTTCTCGTGAGTTGCTTTGAACCATTTTCTGCGCTGCATTTTTCTAGTCACGGACACATTCTTATTCCATTGTCATTATGCTTTTCACTTCTAACATTTCTTAATTTGTGATGTATTTTTGGTAGGTGGCAGCGCAACATTGTACAGGCATTCATGTACTGGCAGGTGCGTTTCCGTTCTTTTCTTATCATTATGGAGTGGCATCTGTGTTCCTGAAGCTAAATTGTTTCAATCATGTTGAACACGCTAGCCACAAACACACAAATGGATAAAAGCACTTGAAAATATGCACCGAGTCGGTGCCCCTTGCAAACATTATTCTTCTCATTAATTATAGAGATGGAGATATCATTTTCTGCAAGCATAGGCTCACTCGACAAGTAATTTTTTCAGTTGAGGTCAAGATCTTGGTAATTTTTGGAGTCGAGAAGTGCATTAGTGATGTAAAAAGTTGATTTCAATACGTTCATTTTTAGCGAATATCTCAAACTCATAGCAGCGCCTAATGAGTTTCTTCTGCAATACATTTTACAGCTATTGAAGCTCATGTATCATGCCCCAGTGACTGCTAACTACCATCTGAGCGTGTGGACCAAGATCGGAAGGACAGTTCATCCTCTTATCCACCGCTACACCCCGTTCTTGGGAACTCCCCTCTCTGCTGTCCAGAGATGGTGGTTGCGGTAGAGGTAGAGAATCAGAGACTCGGAAGAAGAAGATGAGTTTGGAGAAGGACGTCGATGGAAATTCGCTTGAATTCTTGTAAGCTAAAAGAAAAAACTGACGTCTGATGGACTGAATTTGTCGAAACTCATTTGGATTGCGGGTGGATAAAAAGTATATCGATTTTGTTTTCTCTAGTGGATTTTATTCATCCAAATGCCGATTCTGATGGACTACAAACTCTTTTTACCAATTACCATATAGATTCGCCCAAGTACGATATCTATGATGTTTCGGAGTATACAACGATATCTAAAGATTTTTAACAGTTAAATACTAATTGTGTTTTTTTTTTAATGAAAAAATTTACCAGTTAAATTACTCGACGTATCTAATATTTTGAAGCACGGTAAAAAATCTCTAATTGTAGATGTGGAGTAACATAGGCTAAAGTGGAAGTGCTTTCTCCCTTTTAATATTGCGTCTACATAAAAAAAATCGATTCTTGATCCATTGAGAGAATATTTCCAATGAAGTTTACTCGCAAACGTCTTTTTTTTTTTTTAATATTATCTTATTTTATATGAAAGAGGTTTTCTTCGGATTTCTTTCCTATCTTATATGTCAGAATTAAATAAAAGATGCAATTTTATTTTCCGGGAGCTTCAAAATATACAATTTTATTTTTTAATTTCTGGTAGCTTCAGGTTCCAACGGTTCTGGAGTTATCTTCCGGGAGCTTCAAAATTAACGGTTTAACGGTAAATAGTAAAAGTAATGTCCGCCGAAATTAGCAAATTACCAAAAAAAGCTTAGAAAGCAATTTCGGATCCATTTCTCTTACTAAAAAAGTTAAACAATTGTTTGATTGATTGATTGATTGATTGATTGTTTGAAAAGATTGGAGCTTTCATCGTCCAGCTGTATACCCACTACCCGGCAGCTATGGCGTCGGAAACCGATCGTCTTCTCCGGCAATCTTCCTCTTCCGCGGCGGAAGACATGGCGGAAAATGGCGACGCATCGAAGCCTTTCCTTTGTAGGTTTTTGAGCTATCCTGTTGCTAATACCAATACATCGAGCCACAAGAGGCGTCGCAGGCTCGCCGAGAAATTCGCCTCCGCCGCGCCCCGCCCTCGTCGGCAGCAGTCGTTCAGCCGCGACATCGGCCACGCTGCCAAGGAGACTTACCTGATTACTAGCCTCAGCTTCACGCTCCTTCGATACCTCGGGTATCCAATCTTCTTCTTCTTTAGATCCTCCTAGCTTTACTTGGTCAAGGATTGGGTTTAAATTTAACCTCTGTTTGGTTGCCGAGAAAATTGTGGGAAACCGAAAGAAAATGGATTTATAGAACAAAAACCAGAGTCTATCAATTTTCTAAGTTGTATGGAATTTTTGTGTTCAATTATCGTTAATTTTTGCTGAAGAATGCAAGTTTTTGTTATTTCTAATCATATATTTTGATTCAGGGTAGGCTACCGGTGGATGACGAGATTGCTTGCTCTTGGTTGCTATGCTATGTTACTAATGCCAGGATTTCTTCAAGGTTTGTGTGTTTATGTAACTACTTGCTCTTACACATTCATTGCCAATAGAAATTTGTTTCCCTTTTCGTTATTTGTTTTATATTTCGTCAAATCATAGTACCTGCTGCTCGAATTATAAGAAAGATGCGATTTGTTTGATTTGTTGCTAATCGAAGAAAGAACTTGCCGCCTGGATAGGGTTTTGCACCATCATAGTCTTTCGGAAAAAGGCTCCTAGTTTGATTATTGTTGTTGATGTACTTCAGTATTCCCGTCGTTAAGACTTCAGTTGTGTTATGTCCGTAGATTTCACACTACCGTGCCATGATGTTCTTTGACGTGACCCACTTCTTGAACGTAGATTTGTTTGTTTGACATATGATAAGAGTTTCTAATTTTCTTTGTTTTATTATATTAATCAGTTAATGTGGTGAATAGTCTCTTGTGCATTTAACCAGAACATAACTTGATTGTTTACTTTTCTTCAGTTGCAATATGTTATTTCTTTTCAAGCCAGGTCCAGCGTAGTATTGTGTATGGAGATCAACCAAGAAATAGGTAGGTGGATTTTTGTCAAAGGAAATTAAACAGTTGATTTAGATTTTTCGAATTCTGCAACCGCATTTATGTCATGTATCATTTACAGGTTGGATCTATATTTACCTGCAAATAGTGATGGAAAAAAGCCGGTAGTGGTATTTGTAACTGGTGGAGCCTGGATTATTGGGTGAGTGATTTTAAATAGATGAGAGCTGTTACTTCAGCAATTCTTGTAAGTTTCTTTCATGAATTGGTGCAACGGCGTGGAGATGATATTCTCTTTGTTTTTTGGGGATCATGCAAAACATCTTTAGGTGAAGTTTCTGGTTATATATATGTGGCCATTTATTTAGTTATTTGACATTAAGTTTCCATAGTTTCGTGCTGATGTAGGTATAAAGCTTGGGGTTCCCTTTTAGGTCTGCAGTTGGCTGAAAGAGACATCATTGTGGCATGCGTTGATTACAGGTAATTGGTTTTAGTTTAAGCAGTGCAAGTTATAATGTGTGATTACTTTAACTTATATATGGTTCTTTAGATGAAGTATTTGGAAAAAAATAGTAGACACCATGTCCACTGTGTCTATTATTAGAGTGATACATTCAAACGTTAAAGTATTCATTTTGGTTCACCAAGCTTTGGCTATGTAAAAGTTAAGGGGAACCTTTGGTTATGTAAAGTTTGTTGTTTTGCGCAATGAAGGCTGTGTCATGTCACTCAAATGAACAATTATACACTTCCGGTATGTCCTTTACTTTACAAGTGTTGTTGATATGAATTATATGGTTCATGCAGAAACTTTCCGCAGGGTACCATCAGTGATATGGTGAAAGATGCTTCTCAGGGGATCTCATATGTCTGCAACAATATAGCAGATTATGGAGGTGACCCTAATAGGTGACATACTAATATTCGTTCTTCCCTTTCTTGTGCATCTCAAAACTGATTGTATATATATATATATATATATATTCATTTATTATAGTCGTTTTGTGATTGTTTTGAGTAGGATCTATCTAATGGGACAATCTGCTGGTGCACATATTTCTGCTTGTGCTCTCTTGGATCAAGCAATCAAAGAAGCTAAGAAGGACGAGAGCATTTCTTGGAGCGTCTCCCAGATAAAGGCTTATTTTGGTTTATCTGGCGGGTAAAGATCTATTTGCTTCATCATTGTGAATCAATTGAAACTTTACTGAATTTGAAGGGGAAAAAAATGAATTGGATGCACCAATTGCAAGAATGTGCCTTCACAAAAAGGTCCAAATATGTCTTAAAATAGGCTAGAAAAATTCAAAACGTCTAGAAACATAAATACTGGTACACATGTTATATGCTAGTGGAAAGAAATCATCCCATCTGGTCATGTAATTGTCCGTATAAACACTAGAATCTGATGACCAGTAATTGTCCGTGTAAACACTACATGCATGGGTCATTGTAGTATCAAGCTCCATCAGAGACTGATGACCAGTAGTTGCCTTAGTACTATGTAGATGGATCTGTTGACGGGTTTGGATGGGTATACTAATCTTCTTTTATTCTCCTCACAGGTACAATTTGTTTAATTTAGTTGATCATTTCGATAATCGTGGACTATATCGTTCCATCTTTTTGAGGTACTTACCATATGATGTGTTGCTAGCCATTCTTTGGCATACTCATATCAATTATATTGTAACTTTTATTGCTTGTTACTTACTGATGCTTTTGATTTGATGTGTCATGACTCGTGCAGCATTATGGAAGGTGAAGAATCCTTACATCAGTTTTCTCCTGAAGTTAGAGTAAACGACCCAAGCAATAGGAATGCCGTTTCTCTCTTGCCTCCTATCACTCTTTTCCATGGAACTGCAGATTATTCGATACCATCAGACGCCAGGTTAGAATGCCCCAGATATAAATTGTACCTTTATATGGGATTATGTGGAATTTTGATGCCTCCTGTGAACACAGTATATAAATTCCCTTTAATTTAATGCTACGTTCATATTCTTCTGAAGGAACATAGGAAACCATTACGTAGATGTCTATTACATTAGCATATTGTGCCTCCTACAAATCAAGTCCGAAAATGTTTCTTAAAGTAAATTGGATCTAATGCCTGTCATCCATGAGATTTGCTCTTTCTTTCGATTCTATCTGCACAGTACACATTCATACCTTGAAAGAAACATTTTGCCTTTTGTAGAAAGCTTCAATTTGGTCCGTCTTGATACAGACGTCTGAATCCAACTTAAACTTCTCTAGAGAATATCGTGGCGTGAAAGTATCAGTAAATAATGTGTCTTTATGTGCAGTAAAGTTTTTGCAGACACGCTTCAAAAGGCAGGAGCTAAAGCTGACTTAATACTATATGATGGAAAGACTCATACAGATTTGTTTCTTCAAGTAAGTGATTTTTCGGATGTGAGAATTTTACAATTGTCGCTATTGCAAACTTACGGCCTCCATTGCTATTTGCTTTTTATGAACTTACAATATTTACAGTTCAGACTCTTTGAGAGCAATCTGAAATAGGATATCAGGAATTCATTTATAGGCATCTGACTCTTGGCTGCACTTTATAGGATCCTCTAAGAGGCGGCAAAGATGAATTGTTTGACCAACTAGTTTCCGTGATACATGCTGGTGATACCGAAGCTCTTGAGAAAGATGCTATTGCACCTCCGAGAAGGCGCCTTGTTCCGGAGCTCTTGTTGAAGTTGGCACGCTGCATCAGCCCCTTTTAGGCCTTGTATACTGTCACTATTGAAGACCAATTAGGTCCATGCAAAGGAGAGGCTTCAATCGACCCGTGGAGATCTAGATTATACAGAAGACATTACAACATATTTACTTTGATGAGGTTGCTCCATCATAATCCACGAGTTGAATATATCAAAGACAGAGATCGGTAGCCTCCGATATCTAGAGATGTCTCTCTCCTTGTAATCCAATTGTTTTACATGATTGGAAGAATTTGTTTTTGTTGTCCGTGAATGTAGACTTAAAACGCCAAAACTCGTAGATTAGCGGGCGGTCTTTATGTGGTTTCTGTATTAAACAGTTTCCTTTTGTTATTCACAGAACACATTGTTGCCATTCGTGGTGATTTTTTAAGGTGCAAATAAATCAGTTTCTACATTGTTTCAGGCAGAATTGTGCTTTGGCATAACATCTTGGTTGCCCTTCATTCCCTATTCCAGCTGAAACAGCTCCAAGAGAAACAGGGAAATAATTCAAATTGAAAGCGAACGTACTCCGACAGGAAAGAAAAACGAGTTTAAGAACCGTGAGCTACTCTGCAACAAACTGCCCCAAGTTCAGTGCATCATACATCATTCTTTGCGTTTCTGTTTCAACGTCAATACAATCACCTAATGACTTTCGGGAAAATGGAAAGTCATCATCGGATAAAATGACAGTGGAGTGTTACAAAATTATATAAGAACCTGTTTACATAAGTATTAATTTCTAACATTTAACCCTAACCTACTGAGTACGACGCATTTGGATTCAATTCTCATCCATACAAAGGCACAAGCAATCTGCGTTCATACTCGAAGCAAAATTTTCTTTATGGGGGGAAGTAAACCTGAAAAACATTGATCAATGCTCTAACTACTTGGAGATTTTATCAGCAGATGGTGGAACCTTAACAGCTGGGGTGGAAGAGCTAGCAGAAGCCTCTTCCGCTGCATAATGCTTGCGTAATCTCTCCTGAAGCGCACGTACACGGTCCTCAGTCTTGCGAAGCTTTCTCCATCTGTAGGTACCCCAGAGGGCAAAACCACCATATACAACAATGTAGGACGCCCAAACATAAGGGTAGGTCTCAGCATGCTCTTTGATTTGCCGGTACTTTGCTTCCACCGCTCCTCTCAAACCAGCTGCAGCTTGGGGACTTGTGGTTTGCTGCAATTCTTCTCCCTTTTCCTCGGTTGCCATTCCGCAATGTTCACACACAACTTCGCAATCGAAATCCCTGCAACAATGTACATAGAACAGAGATTAGATATATTGGATTCGAAATTGGAGCACACTGAAAAGCCATCTACATTACGATACATGTTACACATCAGACGTATAATCTGAGCATGTCAATCAGCACCGATTATCTTTGAGAAATATGAACAAATACAACCGGTTACAACCTCCAAAACAAAACACCAAACCAACAATAAGCCGTATACAAACCACGATTTAGTACCCCTTGATTCACTACTTAGTGTCCCTCGAGTTGTATTTTTCATTCAACATTCGTAGCGGGTTCCATCAGTGCGCGTTTCCCATTACGTTTCTAAACAACAAATCCAGAACCAAAGCAAAAGATAACATTTTGGAATTCACAAAATTAACAAAATTACGAAATCGAGTGCAGAACATCACGCAATCAGATCAAGCTAAGAAATGAAAATATATTATTTTTTCTTTCGGATTACAGACATGAACGACAATTTCAAATACTGCAAATCGAGACATTTCAATTTTCAATATATTATCAGATTGCAGCAGAGAACACAACCATCCAGATTGAACAACCCACAAATTAGCTTCGAAGAATTGAAAAACTGAAGTTTCTAGATATACCCAGATGAAGAAATCGAATGAAAAATGGAAACCGAGTTCAGAAAGTGAAATTATAAGTTAGAATTAAGAGCTTACCAATCAATGGTGGGAAGGGAACGCTGAGAATCTTGAGAGACTTGCAGACAGGAAGGGGGAGGTGGAAGGCAGACCTGAACAGAGTAAAAGAAAGGGTTTAAGACCCCAATGCCATGAAAACAATATGGGCTTCGGCCGTTGTTGCCTGCAAAGCCTGTCCATTTGTTTTTTTTAAGTGTTTTAGTCCCGTTAACGTTTATTTTAACGAAAAATAATATTTTTACTCTAAAAAGTCGTTCATGGTACTATTCACTTACAATACATTTTTATCATTTTGAAGTTTTTAAGCATTTTTCATTAATTTATATATATATAATTATGGGGTACGCCACCACTATCACTTCTTGCTGAAATCTTTTAGAGCTTGTTTAAAACTATTTTTAAAATGATTGAAAACGTTTATAGTAAAAGTATTTTTTAAACTAATTCTAAATTTTTATTAAAATTGCAAGTAAACCTGGAAAAAGCACTTAAAATGTTTGCTGCTTGTGGGAAGCACTTCAATTGTCTTTAGAACTCGAAAAAAATATTTATTTTAAAAGCACTTTTAATCATTTTAAAAACATTTTCAAAAAAATTTTAATGTGCCAAAAACACTGTCCGGCTCGTCACTTCCTGAAAAAAATCCGGAAGTTCCACCTCTATTTTCAAAAAGCCCAAGGATCCGCCACTTCAAAAACAGCCCAAGGATCCGCCACCATACTAAAAAAAAACCTGGCCCAGATTAATGGCATGACCAAAACAGAGCAAAAACGGCATGAGTTTTGGTTCCCACGTGCTGAGCGGTTTGGCCTTTCAAACCAACCATAGCAAAAGCTCTCTCTCTCTCTCACTCTCTCTCTCTCTCTCTCTCTCTCTCTCACATTTTCTCACACTTACATCTTTCGTCTGCAATTTCTGCAATGGAAGTTGTGTTCTTGTTGATGATGGTCCTTTTGATACCCACCCATTCTCGAACTACGCAATTCCAGGATAACCCAGGTGCTGGAATTCTGTTTTTTTTTTTTCGTGTTCTAATCTATAAGTTATGCCTTTGAAACTATTTGCTGGATATTTTTATTACTTACTGTGTTCTCTGTTTTCCTCAGTTAATGATCCGAGTAGAAGAACAAGTTCACGTAGTCGGCTTTCGAGACCGCTAATCGGACGTGATGGGAAGGTTTATGCTTGCTCTTACAAAGATTTACTTGCATTTGAATCCAACGGGTCCATTGCTTGGACCATGCATTTGAACTATACCTGCAACTCCGATATGGCTCCGGTCCACGGTGGCAGAGGTAAGGTACGTGCGTTTCTTGAAACTGTCGGGTCCGGCATCTACAGAAAGCAGAGACAAGGCGGTTTTCATAGGAAAGACCAACATTTTCAACTTTTTTTTTTTTTTTTTTAATGGAAACGCTTTTGGTTATTTGAAAGCGCTTCTCGTCATGTATAAAGGCTGCTTGAATATGACGTCTGGAGTGTCGTTCAAGTTTTGAAAGCACTTCTTGAAAAAGTTGTTTATATGTGAAACTGCTTTGGCAGATATATCTGGTTGCAGGTAACAAGGTGATTAAAATCAATTTGTTGAACAATGGAACTTCTGAACCGTCTGCACAAGTTTTGCTAAGTACTGAGCGAACTAAAGACGAACAAGGTGGGGTTGTTGGGATTGCAGTTAGCACATCGAGTTCATCTATCTTTGTAAATGTCAAAAATCGGGGACTCTTCGCGTACATGACACGGGGGCAGTTGGTCTGGAGTGCGGGACCTGTCATCGATCTATTTGGTTATCGCCAAGGATGTCGGAAGAACAATGCAGATTGTTATTTCAACTCCGTCCCTGTGATTGATGAATGCGAGGCTAGTATATATGTGAGGACATGTTTATGTATATTTTTCAATTTTTTGGTTGAATCAACAGTTTACCATGTGACAGCATTAAGTTCTTAAGACAAAGTTATTAATTTGCAGATCTCGAATACTGAAGGTGAAATCTACTCGCTATCAATTCGTAGTCCTCACTTCAAATGGATCCAGGATTTAAGTTCTTACGATAAAGTTTTCACGATAACCGCTGGAAACAACGGTAGATTGTATGTTACTGTACCAGTTAAGGCTCTATTGTTGGCGCTAGATGTTTCTTCAGGAAATGTGTTGTGGGAGGGAATTATTGGTCCATTAAGTAACTCAGACTACACGCCGATTGTTGATTCTAATGGTAGTAGCTCTATGTTTCTGTATACGAACTTTCCCAGATTTCGCTTGTCAACTCCCAATGAATTGATTAGCTGTTTTTTTTGCTGCTTCATCACATATAACAGGTTGGATATCTATTGGTTCCTTGGATGGGTTCCTATACTCATTTTCACCAACCGGGATTCTCAAGAAATTCTCAATAACAACCGCAGTGGACTCGGTGATCCAAGTCAGTCCTGTACTCGACTGCACTGGTTATGCAATTTATATCTCTCAGACGAAGATGGAAGGGAAGATCAGCCATGCCGTAGGTGAATATACTTATGTGTCAACAATGAAACCGAAAAGTGTTCATATTACCTTGTATGTTCCAGCCACCGGATCCATCTACTGGTCCGATAGCTATCCTGGTAATTTTGTTTATGTGGTGCTTTTAGTGACCAAATTTAATTGGAGTCGTCTACTTTCACCATTTATATTGCTTCGCATGCGCTAATCCTTACAGCGGTTGGTTCTTCTAGGTCCGTTGTCATCCTTAATGACTCGGAATGATCTTCGCCATTTTATACTAGACGAGAGGATTCTTCTTGCATTTGTCGCTGCTTCAAGTGAGAGACCCTTCTTGGATTTGTTGTACAACCTTTTTGCAGTGTCCTGAAATATGTATGAAAATATGCCTTTGTATCCTAATTGAGAAACGTTAGTGTACTCTTTAGTACCTCTCTTTCTTTCACTACAAGAAAAGTGGTCGGCAAGATCATCAGATCTATCTGCTCACTTGATATTTTTATGTATATGTTTCGTACAGCTAGCAGTAATTCAGCTTACTTATTGATCCTTTTGTTTTCTTTAAATGGATGCAGAAACTGGAAATCCATTGGCATGCCGTTCCACGCGTAAGGCCTAGCTTGGCAATTTCTTCGACGCTCGTTTATATTTCACTTCTTGTAACCTTCTACTTGTACTGATCAGGTCAAAAGCTTATGTCTAGCTGCTCCCAAGTAAGGCCGAAGCTGGACGGCATGTACACTGGTAAGTAGCGAATCACGCGAATGCTATAGTTGCAAATCTTGAACTCGAAGGATTTCAGCTGCCAGTCCTTCCTGTTTTTGTCCCCATCAGGTAATGGAAGGGCAATACTTTTGTTCCTGCTTTTCGAATCTGCAATCTTGGTACTACTAGCTGGACCAGTGCGATTCTGCTGCATATTCTGGAGTAAAAGGAAGCTTCAAGGCGAAAAAAACCTCGGAAGTTTTCTTGAAAAGAGAGTAAGATCATAGTCCTCATCATGCGCTTTCAACAATGCATGCTCCTTCACCTTCTCAAATATGTTTCTGCCATTGCTCTCAGCGCTCTCTCCGACTCAAAAGAAGACGTTCGACAGGACGATCACAGAACTCGAGCAAAAAGCCGCGGTCGAAGCAGTAACCAACGCACAAGTGCTTGAGAAACTGTCAAATCTGTTACAGAAAAGGCAATTCATAGAGAGGAAGCTCTCAACAACATATAGTTTGGGCAGAGATGGCGGCAGCAGCTCGCGGTCGAAATCTCTTCTTCCATCATACGACGGGAAGAAAACAAGGAGTGTAATCCACACATTGAGTGATGCATCATCGTCCTCCAGAGAAAGCGGCAGCAGCGGCGAAGGAGGAGAGAGTGAGTGGAGTTGCTACGAAAGCAAGGGGAAGGCAGCTGCAATGGAAGAAGAGAGTAGTTCAAGTGATGGCTTAGGGTTTCTGGCAAAGACAAGTGCATCAAAGGCAGCTGCATCAAGCCCTAGAGAATCTGAACCAAATATAATGATTGGCACCAGTAGGAGCTTGTCGCTGAAGAGGAGAAGGGCTTTGTCGTCAACTAATTAGAAACTAGGTTGGAATTGGATCACAACTGAAGATTAGAAGATCAAACAGTTTCGATTACGAAAGTTTTACGGTGAAATACGTTATAAGTAAATAGGGGAATGAGTTCATCCCATAAAAAAGCGTTATCCGTAATCTTACATTTGATGACAAAGTATCTTATGTGTGTCGCCTTCACTAGAAACTGTTTTGTGATAAAGCAAGAGCATTGTACATTACTAGTCTCGTCTAAAGAAGGTAAGGAAAGAAAAGGGTAAAAAAATTACATTTTGTCTCTTCATGTTTTCGTCCAATTTTAATTTCATACAACGCATTATAGTTTTTTCAACAAAACAAAATTGATGAGGGAACATCATGATGAGGATTATGTTTCCTTGTTTTGTGGCTTGTTTTGTTCCTTGTTTTGTGGCTTGTTTTGTTCCTTGTTTTGTGGCTTGTTTTGTTTCCTAGCCTAATTTGGCCACTATCCAACATTGTCAACTATGTGGTTCAAATTTGAACTCTAAGTGTGCATTCTACAATTATCACATTATCATTTAACTGTCAATTTAAAATGATAATATAAAATTCATACGAAATCGTGATATGAAATTGAAAAAGTTGAAAGACGTACGAATTTGAAATTAAACGAAAACTTGAGAGAGAAAATGTACCCAAAAGAAAAAGAAAAACGAAAATGATCAAAGAATATAAAAGTCAACGATTTCTCTACACCATAAATACAGCAAAAAAATAGCTGCGGCCGCGCTGTTCCGTACGCCGCAGCACACCCAATCATTGCGCCTCTCTCCCCCCATCTCACACTCGGAATCCAAACCGTCTCAGGACTTCGATTGAAGCTGCGGTGCTTCTATACAAAAATCCACTCAGCTCAAGGTAAATTGCACTCTTCAAATCCCTAATTTCGAGCCCCCTTCTATCAATTTTCTCTTTTCCGTTTGGTTGCCGAGAAACCCTGGAATTTTAGGTCAGAAAGTAAATTAGGTTCAAATCCCTAATCCGTTCATAATCTTGTGTCATTGCCTACTTGTTTCCTTTTCAGTTATTATTATTTTTTGTTTGTGAAATTAGTAATAATTATTGTGATTTATGCTTCAAGATTGGATTTTTGAGTTGAGAGAGTGGTGGGTCTGGATAGCTGGTTAAATTAAATTTTTTTTTTTGGGTTATAATTGCTGTATGTCTGTGGTGTTCCTAGTCTTGAATTTCCATTTTTATTTCATAGTCAGGACATTTCAACTCCAAGATCAAATTTTTAAAACATATTTGTATCCATAAATATACATAAGTCTTTTTAACTGTTTAAATTAATGCACTTTAGTATCAGTATTTGAGTCCGATATCGTGTTTGATTGTTTTCTGATCTACCTATGATTTTTTATGTTGTGCAGAATACTTTCCGGGTGGTCTCTTACAAAAGAAGTTGCTTCTTTATAAATATGGAATCCGAGAATTTTATCAGCCTCCCTGATTCTGGTGATTCTGTCATCGAGAATGCGGGGCATGAAAGTGATGTTCAATATGAAGTTAAAGAAAACGGGGAGATTCTGGGGCATGAAGGCGATGTTCAATATGAAGTTAAAGAAAACAGGGAGATTTTGGGGCATGAAAGTGATGTTCAATGTGAAGTTCAAGCTAACAGTGAGAAACTGAGGCATGAAAGTGGTGTTCAATATGAAGTTAGCCATTGCATGCTGGAATCAAACCTTGAAAAAGAATTGGTCGATGGTGATTCAGATATGGAAATCGAGGACATAAACAACCTTCCTGTCTTGAACAGTTCTCGTTCAGCAAATGAAGAAATCAAATTAGTGGGTAACAAGAAGGGGAATGCTCATTTTATACAGTCTGAAACTGTTGCAGTTGCAGGGGAGTCAAATGTTTTGTTCCCAAAGGTGCATGAGAATGGTTGCCTTCCAGTCCAAGATTCAAGGACCTTGGAAGTCCACAAAAAGGGTGGCACTTGTATCCTTCTTCCACATTTGTTTTCTTAAGGTTTTCTTCTTGTTTATTTTTGATCTCTTTCCAACTGTGAAACTTTGTGGCATGTGCAAATATGTTTACTTCTTCAACCATACAATGCTGTACGCTAAAATTAAGAATGCTGATAATCTTCGAATTTTTGTTATCCGTAATTCAACATTGCCAGCTATATCAGGTGTTAAGAGAGCTAGAATGACAGTTGATGAACAGCAAGCTTCAGTGCGTGTGACATTTGATTCATTGACAAGGTGGGGTTGGAGTAAATTGTTGCATAATGTTTTGATATGAACTTAAGCCAAAAAATACAAAGTATATAGAGAATTTCTATTTGCTGTTAGTTTTCCATTTGTCAATTTCTTAATGATTTGTGTTAATTTTTCTAGAGCTAGTAAACAAAAGCTTGAGGAACTATTACAGCAGTGGTCAGAGTGGCATGCAAAGCATGTTTCTTCATCTCAAGTAAGACTCCTCATTTAGTTGGCCAATCATCTTGAATACTTCATTTTGTGACATGACTTTCCATGGGATGAATCATCCAAAGTATTAAGTTTTAAGTTTAAGATACATTTTCTCTTTTAATCAAGTCTTCACTCAAAAATTGGGGTGGGTTGACTTTAAGTTCTGGTTTTTGGAAGTACTTTTGAACATTTGACATGGAGAGGTGGTTTGTGAAATGCACTAAACTTTGAAGAATGATTTTTTTGTTTTGTTATAATTCTGGTAATACGGCATAAAAGCAAGAGCATCTTAGAGAATGAGAGATCTTCAATTGATAGAGTCAAATCGATAACATGGCTACTACCTTGTTTGATTTGTTGACTAAATTATGGTGATGTGTTTTATGCATTATCATTTTGTTTCTTTTGAATGTAATGGGTGTATCATTACTTGAGTCTTGTGATCGTTCAGGATTCTATTGAAGTAGTGGAATCAGGTGAAGAGACCTTCTTTCCAGCTCTTCATGTTGGCATAGAGAAGACATCTGCGGTGGTGAGGGTCCAGCTATTGTCTCTACTTTTCTCTATATGTGTTTTTGTGTACTTGAGTTTAGGTGCTTTTCTGATTACGTATCAAAAATCTCGTACTATGCTTGGCTGCTAAAGTAATGCAGCCACTACTTGTGGCAACATCTCCTAATTTAACTCTCCTCATCTCCCTTTTTGGGACAGGACGTGCCCAAAATCCTACCTCTGTTGTGCACTTGTACTACAACAAGGATGAAATAGTGATACCCAATATGTGTTCAATGGTTTCTTCAACATTGTTAATTTTTCTGTTTGTCAGAAAAACTAGAAAAAGGGAATGTTGTGTATGATTTTCATTGCTTAGTACTATTTGTTAGTTTTTTTCTGAAGCATTCTTTCACGTGCAGTCTTTTTGGATGGACAACCAAACACGGAAAACAGATAACAACGAATCCAACCTTTTGGATAACAAAGACGTGCCCCTGTATGATCGTGGTTATGCCTTAGGTTTGACTTTGGCTGGTAGCTCAATTAATGCAGAGGGGTAAATATCTTATCAGTATTTTAAATATATTAACATCATGCTATTGGTTTTATGTTTTATGATGATGGTATTACTATATTTGCTGAAGGTTTTGTAGTTGGTTCCTTATTTTCCTTGTTTTGGTCCTTCTGATAGCCAAGTTTATTTCCTTGATCTTCTTGATGGAGAAACCACCAGAAAATTAAGAATTAATAATGAGTGGCAAGAGTGAAGGGTGACTGGACTCCGAACATTGTTAGGTATCTAAGTAGAGATCATTTAATCCTTAATCTCATCATGACATGGCATTCAGGATACTTTGTATGGGTAATCTGGTGGTGAAATATTTGAATCCATTTCATGGTTGTCTTGAGCAAGATTTCTATATATAAGCAAAACATTGTTTTTGCTTGCCTTACTGATCTTTGATATATTCTTTATTCTTTATATTGTTTCAGAGGCTTGGAGATTATAGATGATGCAAGTCGTTGTTTCAATTGTGGCTCTTATAGTCATTCGTTGAAAAATTGCCCAAAGCCTCGTAACCATGCTGCTGTCAACAGTGCTCGTAAACAGCTAAAGTCCAAACGTAATCAAAATGCTAATTCCCGTAATCCAACACGATATTATCAGGATTCTCCAGCTGGAAAGTATGATGGTTTAAGGCCTGGTGCTCTCGATTCTGAGACACGGAAGCTTTTGGGGCTTGGGGTAAGTGATCACTCATTGTGTTACAGAAGACTTGTTAATGTCAAGTGGTGTTCCTTAGAAGTATGACACAAATGCTGTTAATTGAACATAGCTTCTATTCCAGATTGTACTAGTATAGAAGTTTAATGGCGTGCTTGTGTTCACATTGGTCTAGAATATTAAGCACCAATTTATTTATTTATTATTTGGTTGTGTGCAGGAGTTTGATCCACCGCCTTGGCTTAACAGAATGCGAGAAATTGGTTACCCACCGGGATATCTAGGTATTTGAATGTATTTTACTAAATTGGCCTTGTCACTTAAAACAACTGATTATAATAATTGTTGTAGTCCCATTACAGAAGTACTTAAAAAGAAGTTTTCGGAACATATTCAAAAAGTTCAGGTTGAATAGTTCAGAATTTATTATTGCAATTTAATAATTGTTTTTGGTAGTGCATTGTGTGGTGCGGGGGTGTGCAATGTGCATTCTTGGAGAGATTATCCAGTATTCGCCGAATATTTGAGTTTTTTTTGCTTTGTGATGTATGGGGTTTTCGTATGCTTAGACTTTGTGGAGAGTGATGTGCTAAAATCCTGCAGAGCACCCCTGACCGTCTTTTTCTTTTAGATTTAAATTCTGTTTTCAAGCCATAACACTTTGTCTTGTTATTTGTAGATGTAGATGATGAGGATCAGCCATCAGGCATAATAATATATGCTGATGGGGAAATTAAGGAAGAACAGGAGGACGGTGAAATTGTTCAGACAGACTATGCTGACCCGGAGAGGAAAAAGACAGTCGAATTTCCAGGAGTAAACGCACCAATCCCAGAAAATGCTGATGAGAGGCTTTGGGCACCTGGACATTCAATTGGAGATCTCTCTAGGAACCGTTCACACAGCAGAATAAGCCATCATTCGGAACCTGTCAGCAGAGGGCATCACCGCGAGCAAAGGTGGTCCAGGGATTATAGAGACGATGGGCCTCCTGGTGTTGAACCAGGTTTTGCGCCATCTAGCTACCCTCCAAGATATGGTAGTTATGATTACGGTTACAACTCTCACAGTTCAAGTGCTTCAGCACCAAGAAGTCCTACCTTCGGAAGGTCCCAGTCAGACAGAGACCGAAGAATCTCTTCGTTCAATGAAGGTTCTTTTCCTTACTCCAATTCTCGTCATTCGCCAAAGGATTATGGTGCGGGGAATACTGAAAGTTGGAATGATGAAAGCAGGAATGACTACGACCTTGATAATTCAAGTTATAGTAGGGATAGGCTAGACAGGTATCGCCATCACCGTTGGAGGTAATGACAATGACATGTAGCTAGTAGAGATGCTTACTGTGAGGCATATAGGGATAATTTGATCAAGGAGGGAGTTGTACAAAGAACTAGATGTGATGAGTTTAGATGGCTCTGTGATCAGCTTCTGTTGTTGTTGTTTTATGTTATTCTCTAATTTAATCTACCCTTCTTCATTCGTTTATTTTTCTGTAATTGAAGATTCGAAGTTTGAAAACTTTTAGTCGCTTTGTTTTGTGAATTTACAGTAAATTACATTTTATCTCCTCAGGTTTGGGTGCAATTTTAACCTCATATAACATTTTAAAAACATTTCGATTCCATTTATTTACTTATTATTTCATTGTAATTTCATACATCAATTAGTCAAACAGTCAATTTATCTAGCCAGAACTTGTTTAGGGCCTCATCAACGTTTACAGGAGTTGGATGTGCATCAAGAGATGTTGGATTGGTTTCATGCAACTGGGTGGTTGAAGGAATTTTTTCGTTCTTTGTATCTTTTATGTTTTTGTTAACTACAAAATTTCTATGATCTATTTTAATTTTAACTTTATACAATCATGAAATCATGTGGCAAGGGGTCGGGCCGTGCTTAGGTCAGGAAACTAATACCATCTCCAACTAACCCGGTCAAAGGGTTATAGGATTGAAAATAGTTAAGAATGACATAAAAATCGTCTGTAACCGAGGACTAGGCCAAAGGGCTTGTGGGCCCCACCTAGCCCAAACCCCCAAATCAGGCCAGCAGGCTGGTCATTTCCAGCCAGCCAACCCAGCCCTCCAGCGCTAGAATGTCGAGCTTGACATTTTGCTAGCCCTCCAGCTCAGCCTATTTAAATGCTAACAGCTGCTTGGCGTCAGCATGACGCTAGCTAGCAACGGCTAGCTAACGTTATGTTGCCTTCAGGTCACCATTGGAATTTGAAAATTTTTTTTGGACGAATTTAAAAAAAAAAATTAGAATTTTTTTTTTTACAATTTAATGCTTGGGGATCAAGCTAATAAAACTTTCTTTCTTGAAAATAAGAAAGAGAACAGCAATTTCATGTTTGGTTTAGCAGAGAGACATAAGCGCAATAAAAAAAACATATTTATCTGTTTATTATTTATCTTTTTACTTTTGTGGCACATCTAGACGGACAGAGGTAAAGAAGGAAATTGGGTAATACTATTACTCGCCATTCTTCTGTTATGAGAAGTAAAATCTAGGTTTTTCGCAGCCGGAGCTAGACATTATCTGCTTAGTATGCATCTCTAATCTCTTTACTCACATGGCGCATCTAGACAGACAGAGGTAAAAAAAAAAAAGAAACTGGAAAAGACTGTTACACATATCACTATTCTTCTGTCGTAAATCTTAGTTTTTAGCCGTCGGAGTCAGACGTTATCTGTTTAGCATGCATTCCTGATCTCTTTATTGCATCTAGACGGAGCCAAATATCTATCAGGTTATCACGCATCTCTCTACTTGTGTGTCGCATCTAGACGGTCGGAGGTTAAAAAAGGGAGAGCAAGGGTAATTTGGTTATACAGACACCCTTCTCCTCCTGTGTGGAGTAAAACCTAGGGTTTTATTTAGAGATTATACAAGTTTTTAGACCGACTGCTCCAGGTACTTCTAATATTCATTAAAAAAGCTTCAGTGGGCCACCACCGATGGTAAAGTCGAGGACGCAAACTTCAGCTTCAAGCCAATAAAGAAAAAAAATGAAAAGACCAGGTCTTTTTTCCTTAAACCCTAATCCCTCTTTTGTCCAATTAGGGTTTTTAGACTGACTTCGTTGTTGATTGCAATTCGGCTGCGGCCGGCGGCGTTAAATCCCAATTCTTGCTTCCGACTCGCCGTTGATTGCAATTTTGTTGCGTAATTGACAATTTTTTAATTTTTAATTTTTTTAGAAATTTAATTCAAGGGTTTTCTTAAGTGGGATAATTTGAGCAGCCAATTGCTGAATTTTGGATTTGGGATTTGGGGGATTAGGGTTGTTAGCTCTCGGCGAGGTAAAGATTTGTAATTTATTGGAACAATGCGGGGTTTGATAATTGTGCTCGGAAATTGGGGATTTGAGCGAATTGATGGATTTGATTTTCTTTTGATTTTGAAATTTAATTTAGATTAATTTGATGGTTTCACGTGGATAATCGTGATTTAAACGTGGTAATTGGTAAATATTACTAAACAGCAGCTGCATTGTTATCGAGATTATCAGTGTTCATGCAAACTCAAGCATTCTGTTTATAATTTGGTACCTTTGATACTAAATGTTTGGTAATTTACAGTTTTAGCATGAATGAAGTCTTATAAAATCAGCAAGATGGATGTACAGAGATACAATTCAGGGCAAACCCTTGGCCATATATCTAACTACCCGGAGCTGAATCCTTTTTTACCAGGAGGGGATGGTTTACGTCGTCAAGCGTTAAAATGCCCGGTAGTCTACTTGAGGGATTGGCGCAAAGGTCCTAAAGTTATCCGCTTTTGTAATTTCGTTAGGAAACTACTGTAAGTCTCTTAAGTTTGCATTTCAACATGAGCATGTATTAAACTATGCTTGCGTAGTCTTAGGCATTGCTTTTATTCGTTCTGACGTTTGAATTTCTTCCACAGTAATGACTACTTAATACGTACCAATTATGGGTTCGGAAAGCTGGCATCTGATTATGCGGCTGTCGTGGAGAACCAGCTATTTATGGAGGCTACTTCTGAGGTCTGCATTCATATTAAATTCAATACTTAGCTTGATAAGTTTGTTGTTTTATCTTTATGATTTTGCTACTAAATGGGGAAAACTTGACAGCCAATGGTGGCCGTGCTATTGGAAATACCTTTTGTATTCTGAGGCTTAATTATTAGTCTTTGTAACATGTTTTTGAGTAACTTGGTGACCTCATCAACTAGCTTCAAATTCTTTGAAGGAAAAAAAACTTGTTACTATCTTGTTGGATATATTCCTCTTATATCTTGTCTGGTTGAAACTTTATGAATGCATGTGTTAAAATGTCCTGAACTTTTAAATTTGGATATGTTCTAGGAGGAGTATGTGAATGTGGAAACATTATCTCTTCGGCTGCAAAGATTACTCAACCTATATGATCCAAACTCCAGTCAACCAGCAGGTTCTGCAGAAACACCTTCTAATTGCTTGGGTGGTGCTATTAGATCTGACTCCATTTGTAATAATGCATTCGTAGCTAACAATGCTGATGATGTTAACCTCACAAAAGGTGAGCCATTTGAACCTTCCATCATAAACATAATTAACCATTGGTTAGTTTAGGCATATTTATCTCATGGCGTAATCAATTTCTCTTGTAGGGCTCCCTTTTAATGGTGATAAGCGGGGAGATACTAAAATATTCACTACTTCCGATGAGTTGGACATGCCTTTCTCGTTAGGCCTAAGGCAGGCTTCTTCTGACACTGTTCTTCCTCTTGAGGACACTTCAACATCATTCGCTGCATATTCCAATGCCAATCAAGAGAATCGGAATTACATTTCTGACATATCATCTGATTGTCAGGTTCAACAGCAACATCTTGGCCATGGTATGGGTTTGTTTTAGGTCCCCAAATCATGGATCGTTTCTTGGTATTAATTTACTTTCTAGTTTCTGCTATTCCTGGTGAGGTAATTTTTTATTACATATTTAGCTACAGACTACAATCTATTATCTAAATGACATACTCTTTTCAGATTTTCGATAGCTTGAATCAGATGTCTTGGTTCTCACTGGACTGCTGTAGAAGTAGCATCATTGTGTTATTATTATGAAACAACGTAGTTAGATCCAAGGCCATATTGCTCATACTCCTCATGTTCTCCCATTTTACATTTGATAAACTTGCTTGTTATATTGTATGTTCACTGATCCAATATGTTCTCAAGCAGACTATTTGCAATCTGGTATCATAGGCGTGCAATTAATTAGAGTTGTAAATTATGTTATTAGAGAATCTATATTTCTAGAAGTAATAATTTTGTATATGAAAAGTGGAAAACATACTTGAGTTTAAGAAGTCCATCCACTCATACATCTTCACTAAACCCTTTATGCTGTTTGCCTGTTTCTAACAAGGTTTTTTTTCGAAGGTCGTTTGGGGAGTAACCAGAATGCTCAATCGTTGGTTTGTCCATCTACAGAGGGAAACTTTTCAGTGTTTTCCCCCTCTAACTTGCTGATCCCTCAACATTTTCCAATGGATGTTCCTGAAGTCTCCAATATTCTTCCTGGCACAATCTGCAGCCAAGAGATCGCAACTCTTGAGGACATAGTGCAATCTTGTTCCCAGATGATAAAGTCTCAACATAACCGGAAACAATCCCTTCATCCATTAATGCAGCCTCAGGTTTCTCCAGTACAGTCACATGGTGCTCAATATTATGCTTCAGATGATCCCAGTGCAGGAAACATTGAAGATATGCCGCATTCGTCAAAAGGGTTGAAGATGGGTAACATAAATGGAAATAATCATCTATTGGTTCCTTCAATTGTTCAACATTGTGTTCCTGGAGGACTTTCATATCAACAGCAACAGTCTGAATCTCCTATATCCCTTAATTTTGAGGATATAGTGCAGTCTTGTTCTCAGATGATAAATTGTCAACATAACAAAAAACGATGCCCTCATCCATTGAAGCAGCCTCAGGTTCCTCCAGAACAGTCACATGGTGCTCAACAGTATGCTTCAGATAGACCCAGTTCAGGAAACATCAAAGATATTCTGCCTTCAGTTGTTCAAAATTGTGTTCCTGAAGGACTTTCATATCTGCAGCAACAACCTAAATCTCCTGCATTTATTAGTTCTGAGGATATAGTGCAATCTTGCTCCCAGATGATAAAGTCTAAACATAACCGAAAATGGCCAGTTCATCCATATTTGCAGCCTCAGTTTCCTCCTGAACAGTCACATGGTGCTCAACAGTATGCTTCAGATGGATCCAGTTCAGGAAATATTGAAGATATCCCGCCTTCGTCAAAAAAGTTGAAAATGGAGAATCAAAATGAAAATTACCATCTATTGGCCCCTTCAGTTGTTCAACCTTGTGCTCCTGAAGGGCTTTCATATCTGCAGCAACAATCTGAATCTCCTGTATTTATTAATTCTGAAGTAACACATGTGGAGATGGAACCAGCAAATAATTCCATACAAGATTCCATGAGGATCAATGATGTTACAAAATGTGATTCTGACATTATCCTTAAACTGAACTCTGAGAGTGTGCTGATTCCTTCTGGGGAAATATTTTCTTGTCATCATATGGAGCAAATAGACCTTACTAGCAGTAGTGAGATTATTGACAATGTGAAAGAAGTTTCTGAAAGAATGGGGTCCAAGAGTTCCCATTTTTTCTCAGAAGGGCTTACAGAGGAAACAGTGAGGACTGACTTCACCCAGACAGATCCAAAACCAGACTCTGATTTGAAGGAAGTAATAAAGCCTCAGAATCAAGAAACAAATAGTGTCCTTTTGACGGAACTATTAAAAGAAGAGCCAATCAAGGAACATTTATCGAGTCTTGGGCAGAGCATTGATCAGGTAATAATTTTCTGTTCATCATTACTATATTCTCCAAGAGTTTCAACTGTTTTCTAATTATTATTCTTATGCATGTTGTTTAAAACAGAGTATGTTGATGGAAGAACGAGAAAACAGTGAGAAAGTGTGTCAATTGTGTGCGTCAGGAAAGCTTTTTTTTGCCCCTGCACCAGTGTTTTGCTCATGCTGTAATGCTCGTCTCAATCGCGGTGTTAACTATTACTGCACACTGGATGAGCATAGTACACGATATTGTTTTTGTAACTCGTGCTATAAGGGGTCTCGAGGAGGAAATATCTCATTTCATGGTATCCGTATTTCAAAGGCAACACTTGGTAGAAAGAAGAACGATGAGGAAACTGAAGAACCGGTAAATCAAGTCATACTGTCTTCTTATTTTCTGAGATTTTGAAAGTAATTATTCAATTCTGGGGGCTTTTTATGTGCTTGCAGTGGGTTCAATGTGATAAATGCAAGGGCTGGCAACATCAGATATGTGCTGTCTTGAATGATAATAGTGCTTTGGAAGGCAAAGTTGAGAACACATGTCTCAAATGCTTGTTAAAAGAAACAGAATGTGGGGAGCTCAAGAACTTACCAAAGAGTTATATTTTCAGTGCAAAAGATCTGCCAACTACCATGCTTAGCGACCATATAGAACAAAGACTCTTTAGGCGCCTCATGCAAGAGAGACAAGAGAGAGCAAAGGTCCAAGAAAAAGAGCTTTCTGAGGTAAGAAGCAAACTCTGATTGGGAATTTTACATGTTCAGCTTATCTGATTTATTTTTTATTTTATTGGAAATTTTATTTATTTTGAGATTTGGGCAATTTTGATCACTAGATAACACCTAGCGATAAGGAATAATCGATTTAATCATGGGCTACCAGATCTTTGTTTATTTTTTATCTAATAAAGTTGCTTGTTTTGGATAATTGTGTGTGTATCGATTCTTCATAAATGTTCATAATATAAAGTTCTTTGAACCTGCTTGTTTCTTATGTTTTTTCTCAATGGGTTGTTAGGTCCTGGGAACAGAAGGTTCTGTTGTCTATGTGGTTTGTTCTATTGAAAATGTAAAAAAAAAAAATTTCCAATCTAATAAGAATAAATACTCCACCTACAAGTCACATGCCAATCAATTCAATCAGGGGCTGCTTCAGTGTACGTTAAGTTCCCATCTGAAAGTCCTGTTTCGATATTCGCTGAATGGATTTGTGGTATACAATCATTTCTGTCTGTTTATTGTTTATGATTTGTTTGATGGGTTGTTAGGCTCCAGGAGCAGAAGATCTTGTTGTGAGAGAAGTTTTATTGGTTAAAAAAACACTAAAAGTGAAGCAGAAATTTTTGGATCTTTTCATGATGAGAATTACCCTGCTGAATTCCCATACAAATCAAAGGTGAGACAGTTTTTACAATCCATAGATTTCTTTGTTGATTTATAGATTTCTCTTCTCTCTCCCGTTGAATCTCCTCTCCTATAATTGCTTGTTTGTTACAGTTACAAGAAAACCTAATCTGACATTTTTTTTCTTTTTGCATCCAGGTTATTCTTTTGTTTCAGAAGATTGAAGGAGTAGATGTATGCCTTTTTGGAATGTATGTGCAGGAGTTCGGCTCAGAATGTAGTCACCCAAATAAGCGTTGTGTTTATATCTCATATCTGGATTCTATTAAGTACTTCAGGCCAGAGACAAAAACCATGACTGGAGAAGCTCTTCGTACGTTTGTTTATCATGAAATATTGGTAGTTACCTCTTTTCCCTATCATTATTTAGGCCCATGTCATTGGTAGGTTAATTGACACATGATTACTTACATTTTTTATTTTTACTATTTTTGTCTTCAGATAGCTTACCTTGAGTTTTGTAAGAAACGAGGTTTTGTTACCTCCTATATATGGGCGTGTGCCCCTTTAAACGGTGAAGATTATATTTTACACTGCCATCCAGAATTGCAGAAAATGCCCAAGCCTGAGAAGCTGCGGCAATGGTCTCTCTCTCTCTCTCTCTCTCTTGTGTTTTTCATTTTGTTCATGTGTGCATGCATTTCTGCAGATGTGCCTTCTCTGATTTTAACTAGTTCACTTGTGCAGGTATCATTCGTTGATAAAAAAAGCAGCTGATGAAAAAATTGTGGTCAGTCACACTAATTTATATGATCGTTTTTTATCCCCAGTGGGGAATGTAACTCCAAGGTAACGGCAGCTCATTTGCCATATTTTGATGGTGACTATTGGTCTGGTGCAACTGAGGAGGCAGTCAGGAAAATTGAACAAGAAAGAATGGCAGACACACAAAAGAAATCGAAGATAACAATAACAAAGAGAACTTTAAAAGCCATGGGCCATACAGATCCTTCTGATGGCTCTACCAAGGATATTCTACTGATGCAGAGAGTAAATATACTAAACCTTTCCCTTCTAATTTTTCCTACTAAATTGGTGGCTTAAAAGCTATCTTCTAATCATCTAAATCTTCACTTTGCATACTCTAGTGAAGCAACCTTGGTGGCTTAAAATATACCCTATCTAGTCAAATGAGACAAGTATTGAAACTCTGATAGATATGGGTAAAAACAGAGCACAAACTAATGCTTGATCAATATGATTGATCGCCTTCACTTTGATCTGGTACTTCTCTAGGGAGTAACGAGGGCAATACTTTATCCAGATTCTGTGGTTTCCTGGGAAATATCTCAATTCCTTGATCACAAGATCAATATTGGAGTGATTGAGTGAGTGTTTGCCTTAAATTTTACAATGGTAATAGTCAATAGGACTTGGGAAAGAATAAAACATTTACACCAGCGTTGTCAATTGCGTTAATACTATTAATAGATTTACCCTCTTTTTCTCCCTTTATATCTATTTACTCTCGATCTTATTTTGTTGTATCTTCCTTTTTAGATGGGGCAAAGCATTTTACAGACCAAGGAGGTTTTTATGATTGTCGACATGCAGTATGTTTGCACTCACTGTCATGAAGCAATATTATCTGGACGACGCTGGTCCTGCGGCCAGTGCAAAAATTTTCACCTCTGTGAAAGGTAACCAATCACTCTGAAGTCTCTCCTTCTCTTCAAACTTTTTATGCTGCCCTTTAATAAGAATATTCATGGTTCCTATCATTGAAATGCAGTATTGTTTATCATTCTTAGTTACCTGATATCTTATTTCCAAACAAGGAGGGAGTGGATGAACAAAACAAAAAAAATCATTAGATTGAGCTTGAGCAAAATTTTTTTTTTTTTTTTTTTTTTAAGAAGTAAAATTCCATTTAGGTTGAATTGATTATCTTATTTTTTTTCTCTATCAATAACTCAATCTTCTCTTTGTGTGTGAAAATATTCATGGGACATTGTTCGTCTTTAATGCCTAGAATCTGTTGACCTTATCTTTGGTATTTATGCTTAAGAACTTAATTTATGTGTAACTACTATTTCTTTTCACTCTTATTGTATATGTTGTAGATGCCATGATGCTGAGCGCAAAAATTGTGGATAGGACATTCACATCTCAGCCAACATGGAACGACATGTGCTTTCTCAGGTGAATTTCAAACCTTATGAGCTGATATGATATTTCTGCCCTTCTGCATGCAGGATTAGCCTGCTCAGTAGATAACTAATCAAGTGGCGAAGGAAACATAATTGTACACTGTATAGATCTATCCACTAAAAGGAGATATCAACAATCAGTAACTGTACTACACGTAAACCTGTTTTTGTTAATTCATGATAGGAGCTCATTTACAATAAAAGTTTATACCAGTCAATTAGTGTTAGCATCTACCAAGCTTAAAATAATATGAACCAGCCTAGTTACTAGTTTTACCAAATGAAGTTGTAGATTCAAATAAATGCTGTCGTTAATGTTAGAGTGGCATGTTTGTGCATATTACAATCAAATTTGATTAATTCGTATGACTTTTGCTCTTTTTCAGGTTGTGGTTGAGGATGTGCTTTCTGATACCAAGGATGATGTTATTTCGAACAACAATTTACTTGAAAATAGGCATACTTTCTTGAGCTTTTGTGAGAAGAAGCATTATCAGTTCGGCACACTTCATCGGGCCAAGTATTCCTCAAAAATGATTCTGCATCATCTCCATAATGCTACTGTGCTAACTGGTGGGAACACATGCAGTATTTGCCATAAGGATGCTGTGGTTGATCAGAGATGGGTGTGTGCAATATGTCCAGAGTTTGACGTTTGTGCAACATGCTATCGAGAGAAAGGAAGTGCTTGTCACATTCATAAGCTGACTCAAAGTTCTCCCTCAGCTAACCGTGGGACAGAGAATCGAAAGGTGCCAAAAAAAGGATTTCTGGTATAAAAGTATTAAATTTAAATATTTCATCATTCCTTCCTCTTTTCATGTAGTAGTTTTCATCTTTTTTCCTGATAATAATATTATTAACTACAATAAAGATAATATTCATCATTCCTTCCTCTTTGCAAAAAATAATTTTAATTACCTAAATGAAAAAGATGGAGTGTGCGTGTGTGTGCACGTGTTTTTGCGATGTTCAGTTACTTTGTCCTGTCATTATGTTTGATTAGACTTATAGTGTAAATATGTCGTGCAGATAAGGGAACTGCTGGACGTTTTACAGCATGCAACTACATGTAACCCAACCAAGATTCAACCTTGCTTTTACCCGAACTGCCTCCAGATGAAGAAGCTATTATACCATGCAGATAAGTGCACTGTTCGGGCTACTGGAGGTTGTCACTTCTGTAAGAAGGCATGGAGCGGATTGATTCTGCATTCGATAAACTGTAGAAAACTAAATTGTACCACACCACGATGCATGTGAGTTATATTCATTGCATTTAGCCACCACCCCCTTCCACACCAAAAGGGGCTTGCTAGTTCTTATATCATTACCATAATTGCTCTAATTTTCGCTCATTTATCGGATTGATTGGTGATGATTTTGAAGGGATCTGAAGAAGCATGCAGAAGAGCGTCGGTTGAAGAATTAGTCAGGTAGCAGTGAGCAGTGAAGGTTGCTAAGAGTTGATAGTCTAAAGTGTACAGGATAGGACAGGATTGTCAACACCGGCAGCCAAGTGTATAGAAAGTTGAGAAGCAGGATAACTTGCAGCATTAAGTATTGCAGGGCTCAACGATTTTGTCAAATAAAAACACAGTGAAATATCGGTCTGATACCGACCCCTTGTGTACAGACGTAGTAGCGTTCCTTCAGACGGCTTGTGATTCGAGGCGTTGGTGTGGTTCCAAAACAATAGGCTTACAAAGGTATGCTTTTGGTACCTGGTTAAGGCTCTTTCTTTAGTACTTACCCCTTCCCTGAACAGCGTAGTTTTCTTGGACGTCGGTAGATGAAGACATGTGTAGAACAGGTAAATCAGAATCTCTAGGTTTCTGATATGATCTTCCGGTGACCCGACATTTATGTAAGTTATGTAAATTCAATGTTTATTACTATTTACCAGAAAAAGCTTTGTTGTGTCATGTCTTGATTTCTTTTCATGTTTTGTAATTAATTTCATCTAAAATCGTTAAACTTTATAGTTATGACAGCGTCATATATTACGAAAAATCTACTGTAGGGTATTAGTACATCTTATACATAATTTAAACGTGGGAATTTGTCCTCTAAAAAAGGAAACATTGAATGAATTGATCGTAAATTGATATGTTCCATATTTTTGGTACTCCACCTTCCAAATACTAGGCATTTTTATCTATGTTTTGACCACCAATTTACGGCACTTGACCTTTTTCTTTGCCCAACTCAGGTTTATATGTTTTGCTCAAAACTCTCTTAAAACTTGGGCGAGATATATATTTCAATCGTCTAATATGATGTACCAACAAAATGATATATACACGCCTTGATGGATTCGGTTTCGTGAGATAATGGTCCGGCGAGAATGACACGAAAAGAGTTTTTTATGATCATAAAAAGGGCATAAATGTCGATTCAACAGAGACGTAACTGAAGTACTATTTTTCATTAAACCGTCGAGCGTCAAAACATAAGTGTTGGTTGAGACTAGAAGCTCCCGAACAAATTAAAGACCCGCATCATCGCGGGTCTAACCCGAGTCTCGGGTAAGCCATCTCGGCAGCCTCCGCCATGTTATATAATTTGGGTCACTGAAATCATCTATCCTGTTAGCTACTGTTGCAAAATGCCAAACATGAGAGAGAGAGAGAGAGAGAGAGAGAGAGAGAGAATGCATGCAGTTCAAACAATCACTACCAGAAGGAAATAAAGATTACAAACAATGTGGACGTGGAGGAGCTTTCAGTCCAGCAGTATAATATGCACTGCCTACCGCTGCTGCTGCTGCTGCTTCTGCTGCTACAAGAGAACAAATCTAGCTTTGTCTTTAGGAAAAAAAAACAAAAATAATAAGAAACAGCTCCAATGTCTTCCCGAGTCCTAAACGAAAAGAGGGCAAATAAAGCCTAATCCCTCCCACTGAATTACTTCCATGGTTCTAACTACACTTTAATTGGTCATGCACAAATACTACCACATTATAAAAGCCAACAGCAAACCTAAAGTTGATGCAGTCAAGTTCCCGTCGTCCAAAATCCACGTGGCGGAAACAAGTCTAAACTCATTATGTTGTGAGGAAGGTCCAGAGCTTCTTTCCTATTGAGGCTTGACCAGGATGTTCAGATGATTCTTCTTCGTCGTCGTCGTCTTCTTCAATGGGAGTAGCTTCCCCGGATTCACTCCTATACTCATCTCCGTCGACATACTCCTGACCCCCTGCTGTTGAACCATTCACCTCTTCACTCGCTGCTGGATTCTCTTCCTGATTTTTCTCTGCATCTGCATCACCATCTTGCGTGTTTGCAAGAGTCTCGCACTGAGCACAAAATAAAAAGAAACACCGCATTAGATAGATCAGTCATGATGCTTTTACTGACAAACCATCTTTTGAAGAAGAGTTTCCATAAAACAAATAGAAGGGTCATGCATAAACACACATGTGCCATCTAGTGAAATTCTAATGGGCCAGTGAAGAAACTCATTGGACACTCACCCGGACAAAGTGTGAGCTTCCACCATTCTCGCTAGCAACTCCCATTGAAGAAGTAGCAGGAGCAGCTTTAGAGTAATGAATCACTGCCTTCGTACCTCTAGCTCCATCAACCTCCTCATTTTCTTTGACAAGGTCGCGTAGAGGCAGTTGCAGCAGCACCTCTGACTCCACTGAGCAAATAATGAGAAAAATCAAAACTTGGTTGCATGGCAAAAAACACCAGATTTTCGTTAAGCGAGAAAATGACTTTAACATGCATTTTCCAATACACAATACTCTAGAAGCATGCGGCAAACAACAATTCTATTCAAGAAACTACGACAGATTGCTATGTTTTTTACATGGTACTACACTACATATACTTAAGATATAACAATTTAAAGACTTACGTTTTCGGTCGCCGGAGATTGTACCGACTTTCCCCTGGAACTTGTTCGGCTGGAAGAACTTTTTCTCGCTTCTTCTTGCGCTGGGAACCCATGACAATGTCAGAAAGTCTTTCGCTATCACCACCATCACTCACAGCAATCTGAGATGTCTGCGCGCGGCCGCGCTTCCGTCCATTTCTTGTTGTTCTTTTGTCAGCAGGACTGGAACCACCAAGGCTTTCACTTTGCACGTCGATGGAATCCTCTGCAGTACCGTTTGCATATTCACTGTCAGCCTCCCCAAGTATAGCCTTAGCATCTTTGACAACTGCTTTCATAGTGCGAGCTCTGTTTACTGCAGGCCTGCGACTCCTACTTGGCTTTCGACGACCACCCTTCAAATCAGAAGGCTGAGAATCTTCTGGGACATCAGGTGGTGCCTCACTGTTCATGTTGCTATGCTCATCATGTGAAGGATATTGAACAACTTCGACCTCTCTGATGCTGTTGTCAGATTGAATCCTCTGGACATCAAAAGAATCACTTGCAACTCCTAAAGAGATCTCAGCCTCGTTTTCAGTGCCATGCACTCTTTCGGATGGCTCTACATTTTGCTCACCCGGAAATGGTGCCTCATTTGGAGAATTTTGAGGAGCACCAAACTCGATCTTTTTCCCCGGGGAGAGGTTAAAAATCTTTGTGGTGCATTTACGAAGCCAAGATATAGTTCCACCAGAAACTGGAGACCTTGGATCAGCAGCAGGAGACATCTCATTTTTTTGCCTCTTAGAAGCAGCCAGATTTTCATAGTCATCACTCAATCTCGGCTGGGGAATGACCTCTGCATTTTCAATTTCAGCTAAAGGTCGTAGATGCACAAACTCCAATATCATTTCACCACAAGTTGTGCAACTCTTGAGTTTCTCAATAAATGAAATAAAGGATTCTCTCTCCTTAATAAACTGCTCACGCTGATCTCTGAGTTTCCGGCTAAGGTCAAGAAGTCCATCAATGTCTTTTCTTATCTCAACTTGTTGCCTTTCAAGATGTTCCTTATTTGCATCAGCTTCTTGTCTTTCCTTTTCTATTTTAAGCCTTTCAACTTTGATTTCTTCCATTTCCCTTCTAGCTACCTCTCTCAAGTAATTAACATTGTCTAGTTCTCTTTCTCGTTCTTCTGCAAAAGATTTTTCTCTTTCACGCAAGGGTTTTTCCATCTCCTCCAGCCGATTCTGCATATCAGTTTCAAGCTCCCTTTTCCGTGTCTCAAATTCATGAAGCATTTGGCTTCTCTCACTTTGAGCTTTCTCAGCTAATTCTGACTTCTCATGTTCCATATGAGCTGCAAATGACTCCCTGGCCAATTTAAGATCCCCCTGCTCCCTTTCTATATAGTGTTGTGCCGCCACCCTTTCATTTTTCAACCTTTCTTCTTCAGCATGTTTCCATTTTTCTATTTCTTCCTTCTGTTCACCCACATTCTTCAGTTCTTTCTCAATCTCAACTCTTTTGTCATCCAGTTCCTCCCACTCTCTCTCAAAAAGCTCCTTTTGCTGCTTCAAGTCTTCAGCTTCCTTCAGGAGCAGTTCTTTCTGTTGCCTGTACTTGTCAATTTCCTGTTTTAATTCTGACTGCAAGCGGAGATAATCTGACCTTTCTTCTTCAGTTACTTTGAGCAGATCCCTCTGCTCACTAATCTTCTGCAGCTGTTCCTCATTATCAGCCCTGATCTTCTCAACTTCAGCCAGGAGCCTAACCAAATCCTCTTTATCAGTAACTAGTTGCTTCTTCTCGCTTTCCAAGTTCTTCTCCTCAGACTTAATAGACTTCTCCTTTTCCTTCAGGGATTTCACTTTTGTTTCAAAGTCATTCTCTTTCTCCCTGAGTTTTTCAGCTTTCTTTTCCAGAGCCTGCTCCCGTTTCGCAATTTTCTCCTCCAAGTGATTGATTTCAGTTTCCTTTTTCTCCACATCAACTGCCCTGTTTCTCAATTCACTATCCAAGGATTTTCTCCTTTCATCAATTTCCAACTCAAATTCACATTTCTTTGCATCCAGGATGGCATTGTGTTCATCAATAAGCTTTTGGATCTCAACCTGGCAAAAGAAAAGAGTTGGGGACCATTAGAATAATGATTTCCCTCTCACATTTATCCATTTTTAACCTAAAAAAGTTTCAGCTTTTAGTTGTAAGTCAACTTTAATGCCATAGAAAAAACAGAGCATCATCCCATAAGGTTTAAGTAGTTATTGGCCTTACTTTTTCTTTAGCATTGAGCTTTTCTTCCCATACAAGTAACTCCTTCTCCTTCATCTCGAGGTTCATTCTCAGAGCATCATATTCCTGCATATAATAGAAACTTACTTAAACAAATCAATTATGACATTCAAAACAGCTCACATAAATACATAAAATATTCTTGCCTTCTCTTTCAGAGTTAGATTTGCTAGCCTGTTGCTTATATCATCTTCTTTCCTTTTCAGTGTCTCATTAGTTGCATCGATCTTCCTCTGAGCATCTTCCAGATCCTTCTCTTTCTGCTTAAAACTCTTATCAATCTCATTTGCCCTCTCCTCCCTTTGGTTGAGAATTCTTTGGCCCTTGGCTAGCCTCTCTTCTCCCTCTTGCAATTTCCTTTCCCATTCTAGCAAGTCCTCCCTCCGCTTGGACAAAGAAGTCTCATGTGCTTCCTGTCTAAAAGAGAAACTAGATAAATTAAGACAAGAACTAACCTTGATATTGAGAAGTGGTCAACAATGCTTTAATAAAAATCATAAAGAAAGAAAAAAAACATATTGTGATAGATTATAGAAAACACCAGAAAGAAAAGTTCAAGAGCCTTGATCTTACTCTGAACTGAAGGATAACCGATCTCTTCGAAGTGCACTTTCTCGAGACTCTAAGTCTTTCAATTTCCTCTCAATTTCTGAACTTTTTCGGCTCACTTCAGCAAGCTTGGCATCAGCAGCACGCATCTTTGCCTCTAGCTCCAATGATTTCTCTTCTACACTAGCAACCAAAGCATTTGCCTCGGCCAACTTTGATTCAGCAGTAAACTTAATTTCTGCATTTTCTGAACGAATCTCATGTAGAGCCTTCTCTAGCTGCAAAGTTAATGTACCAGATGTTAGAAAATCAACCACAATCAGTTAACTTTCTAGATGAGAACATAGACTTCCAATAATAACCGTCGATTCTGAAGTTTAAAGTTTAGCTCACTCAAAAACAGAAAAGGCTGGCTTTCATTGCATATAAAGTAAAAAAGCACATATATTTACTAAGAAACAAAACGACAAATACGTTGTATGGTGAGCATTCCTTAGTCAATTGAAAGATCATAAGGGAAAGTAAAAATTGACAAAGATTGTATATACCAAGATCAAATGGATGTTTTCATAGCCCTCCAAGGCTTTCTAGAAACTGATAAGTCGCCTACATGTAGAAGAGTCAAAAACAAGATTAGGAAGATAAATCTTACATCATGCACACATTGTTTCTCAACCCCCAAGGCCTTCCTCAGATTCTCCTCTCGCTTTTCGATTTCTGTCATTACAATCAAATGGGCTGATTGCTCTCTTCTGACAGCCTCTTTTGCTTCGTTTAATGACTGCCTGACGTCTTCATACTTAGAAGTCCACTCTTTCTTCTCAATCAAGAGCAGACCCATATTGTACTGGTATTCGAAAAGCTGTTCAATAAAAAACAATCATTCATAAAAAAAGCATGCATCAAACAATTGGTAAGAGTAAATTCCATGCTTAAAATATGAATCATGTGCTAAATTATAATGGCACATCTAAAAAAGACGAACGAAAAACCTGAAATTTACAGGAAAAAAAAAACTGAAAATTTGAAACTAGTAGAGCAAACAAAGCATCACAGGATTCAACAAGCACTCGACCAACCTCATTTTCGAGCTCCGAAACCCTGTGAGCCAAGACTTCGCGGTCAGTGGCTGCGCCGCCGGTTTCCACTAACATCTTCCCCACATTCTCAAGCATGGAACCCGAAACTGGTGTCGCGGGTTCAAACAAGTTTACACCTTTTCCCTTCGCAATGATCCCATCCCCGGAGTTAGAGTTCGGAGCACCGGACCCGGTTCCGGTCTTCTCCGCCCCGGTTCTGGGCGTTCGAGACCAACCCGACCACCGTTGCGGCGTAAACATCAAGAAACTCTCTATAACAATCCCAGAAGGCTTACAAATTGCAACTTCAACTTCATAAGCGCATGCACGCCGAAGCCAATTCAACGATTAGGGAAAAAAACCCTAAATTTCAGAAACAGAAATCCCGCCGGAGAAAAACCCTAATTTGAGAAACGAAGTGGCGTTCAGGAGTGAAACCCCAAGCCAGGACCCGATCAGAATACCAAAATTCCGGCGAATTGAAGTTTTGAAATTCGGATGAAAATTGAGAATTTTTGCTTCAGTAACACTCTCTCTCTCTGGTTTCCGTCTCTTAACAAGAAGCCCTAGTCCGGACGTGAACGGAGTTCCTAAATTCCGGCGAATAGGAGATTTCAAGTCCGGAAACCTCCTCAGTACCCCTCTCTCCCTCTCTCTTGTTTCTCTCTCTTCTCAGCCACCTTTGTGTGCTGGTGTGCGGATTACTCACGTTCCTTCTTTTTTTATTTCTGGGCCAGCGCGGAATTTCATGTTGAAACTACCAATTTACCCTTCATTTTCATATAGTTGAACCCGATGGTAGTAGGGTAGTTTCGGAAGTCGAACTGGCTGGCTTTATGGAAAGCAACGTGGGTGGCTCGATTGTTTGGTATGTAAAGACGAAGTTGCCATGGTTGGAAATGCCCGTTTGGACTGGCGGAATGGGTAAATTAGGGGAGAGGTAGGGGCACTTTGATAAACCGGGCATGTTCTCGTGTTTTCCAAAGAATATACCTGTGACAGTGTACCGAAAAGCCACGGTGTACGGGAGCTGTTAAGTTGGGAAAAAAGGGGATTAGGCCTTGAAGATAAACGTCTCTTTGTCACATGTGGCTTCTTCTTCATCATTGCCCACTTAGTTTTTCAAAATATATTATTTGAGCATTTTTATTTTTTGGACAAGGATTGTCTACCCTTCCATTTTCGATGTCTTCTCATTTTCGGTGTCCTCCCATTTTCGGTGCCCTCCCTTACTCTCATGTTTATGTGGTCACGGTTAAACCACGTCAACATTTTATATTATTTTTTTATAAAGATAATAAGACAAAAATGAATATTAATTAAAATGTTGACGTGACTTAACCGTGACCACACAAAACAGGAGGGCACCGGAAGTGGAAGGGCAGACAATCCTTGTCCTTTTTTTTTTTTTTTTACACAAACGATATTAAGATGGTGAAATTTAAATTCAAAGATGTCAAATGCGAGATAAGACGTTATTAATTATTTGAGCTGATCTGTCTTTTATATTTAGTTTCAAGATACTAAAACAATTGGCATGGTCTAGTTCGTTTCACTTTGATCCACAAACCGAAATCCAAATCAAATAATTAATCTGTATGGTTTGGTTTTAATTTGACCAATTGGTTCTATTCAATTTGGACTTGAACTCTTTGTTTGTTGAATTTGTGACATGAGAAACTCAAGCCTAATACTCCACTCATATATTAAAAACCACCAAAAATTGCAATTACGAGAGCCTGAGGAACGAGGGATGTTGTGATTTTCACTCTATTTTATTTTTTTTACCCACTCTTTTGATTAGTTAATAATTTTTTAGAGTATTTGTGGAATAAAATGCGGTGTAGAATTGTCATCCTATAATTACATAAAAAAACTATTAATAAATTGAAAGAGTTTGTGAAGCAAAATGTGATGAGTGAAAATAACCGTTTCAGAAAAATCAGTTGTACATCAAACTATGGATTGACATGATATATGTGTTACAATATAACATCTACGGACTTACTTGAGAATGTTTTGTAAGGTCCAAAATCCCTTTAAAATTAAGGTGTTTCCAAACGTTTGTTTACGGAAAAATTAAAAGTGTTTATGATTTATACATTGGCTGAAGAAGCAATTTTAAGTACTTTTGAAAAGAAAAGAAAAAACACATACAATCCAAACGAATTTAGTAACATCAAAGTTCTACCGTTAAACACAAAATATTCACCTTTTTACATCCAACACTTTTACATGAACAGAAAACCGGCCCCGGGAAAGAACGAAAAACCAAAAAGAATCCAGCATTGGTCTGAGAAATGGTGTCATCAAAACTCCCCCTTTTAGTTTCTTGACCAACCGGGTTGTTATTTTTATTCGTTTTTGGATTTTTATAGTTATTTTTGAAGTGGGGTTTTGTTTGTTTTCCAATAGAAGCTGAGGTGCTTTTGCTTTTGGAAAAAGCAGGTTGCTTTACTTATTATAATCTGTGAGTTGATGTAAAACGTGGATTGTTTAATAAGTTGGTATGTAAGATCAACAGTATATTCATGGTTCTCTGCAGAATTCAGGTTGTTTGAATTTCCAACGACACAAATGCTGGCAAAAAGAAAAATTAGAAAGAAGTTTGATGGCCAGTATAATCTTGACGAATTTTTGCTGCATTACGGAGAACTCAAGTTCGAGCTCAAGCTAGCTGTAATCTCAACAAAGTTAAATCCTTTCGTTACTATTTCATTGTTTTGCTTAACGTATGTGATACACCGGATGCAAATGACGTTGGAGCATGTCAGGTGATATTAAGGAATTTACTTTTGTTAATTCATACTTCTTGTTCTTCAGACGGTTTATGTTGGGATGACTTCTTTGATTCTCTGTCGTGCAATGCACTTCATCATGGAATTTGCGATGGGAGGGCAAGGTATTCTTGAGAAATTTTAACGAAACATTCTCAGTTATTATTCACTTTTTAACGAAAATGATATTTTTATCTGAAAAGTCACTCATGGTACTATTCACTTACATCTTTATTATGTCATTTTCATTAGTTTTCATGTATTCTTATCGGCTTGAAACTTGATTGCAAAGTATCGAAAATCTGACACCAATGCCTTCAGTTTCTTTCACTTAGTAGTTGTTGTTTGTTTGCAAGTATGTATGTTTTGAACACCCATTTGTGATGGTTATGCAGACATTTAGCAGTTCGCCAAGGCATCGCGGTGGTGGAGGTCGTAGCCAGGTCGAGGTGGCCGACGGAGTGGTGGTTACTACGGAAGTGGTTACAGCAATGTTGGACGAGGCCGAGGCCGAGGCCATAATTTCTCTTACCGCGCCACCTAGTAAGCTGCAAGCTTTGTTCTTGACTCTTGAGTATGTATAAATAGGATGAACCTCAGAACTGTTGGTGTTTAATCCAAAGTGGATAGCGCGATTAACGGCTAGTTAAAGTCCATTAAACAATAATACTGAGAGGTAAGCCATTTGTTTTCTACCGTGTAGAAGCTTGTTTTGGATCAGGGTATAAGCCCGAAAGAAAAGAAAATATTACATAGAATAGAATATCACGAGGTTACGAGATAAGAACTATATTTGCAATTAACAACCGATGACAAGAAGAAGTAACTTGCTAAAAAAAAAAAAAAAAAAAAAAGACTAAAACTGCATGACAAACCCAAACGAGCCAAACAACTATTATGAATTAAGAAAGATAATAATTTTTTTTTTTTGAATTTATGGTTATTTACGTAGTTGACAGGTAATCAAACCATATAACCAAAGAGTAAATAAAAGTGAAAATCTTAAGTCAGGTCGCCTCACAACCAGCTTCTCCAACTTTCTAATCAAATAATATCACGTCGTTATTTATTTTTTTGCTTAAATTCAATTGATAATCATATTGATACGATACAACATTGAGTGGTCAGACATATGAATATGAATGGCTTAATAATCAATATATCGATATTGAGTGGTTGGACAAATCATGTTGTGAGCCCGTCTGCCTCAAAATTCCGATTGATGAGACTCGACAACTCAGGATTAAAATGAATACAAATAGCAACCAGCAAGAGAGCGAGAAATTATGGAGTAGTACGGTATCACCACGTCAGCCGGTGATACTTCTACTCAAATTTTGCCACGTGAAATTTTGTTTACACCTAGATTTAATGTCTTTTTATTGTCTTTTTTTGTTTTTTGGTTGGTAAAATGAATTTAGAAACTTAAAACTTAAATTAATAATAAAATCCAGTAACCATCCTAGGCAAATCCCCAATCTCTAGCCACCACTCTCACACCTGCCATGGCTGCCATCTTGGATGGACCAGGATCCTCTCCGGATACTTAGGGATCAATTGATCCTGGTCATTCACGGTTGGCCTTCTGTTCACTGCCTTCTCTCTCCTCCCTTCAATTTTTTCTTAGTTGCTTTGCACACGTCATCTTCGACCTACGCGCTTATCGTGTTCAACGAGATCCTCCCGAGATTCGCTTTGCTACCATAACAACCCCAAAAATCAAACAACCCAACTAATCCAATCTCTTAATTTTGAAAGATAAAATTCCAAGTACAACTGCCTTAATTTGATTTTTCGGATGAATTTGACATAAAAAGAGTGGTGGTGCTGGAAAACAAGGGGGACAGTATTAGTGTTGTTGGAGTGGGTCCATGGCCTGTCCACCTAAAAGCAGTTTGGGAATCTAGAGAGACTGAGGAATTTTTTTTAATTTTGTTTCTTAAAATTTTATTTTATTGTTTATTAACAAAATATTTAATGAATTTAATCCAGCTGTTAAAAAAATTATACAAATGGCAAGTTTTGAGTAGAAGTACTATAACTGACGGGGGGGGTAGTACTGTACCCAATAGGATCTTTTCCGAATCCTTTTGGTGAGAATCTTCGGATTCATGAATTATGTCTGTTCATTGTATATTGTGCGGTTATTTTTTTTCAAGTACTGTTTATATTTATTTTTAAATAAAAATATTTAAAATAATTTATGACCACACAATGTATGATGAACGAACAAGATTCACGGATCCCTAGAATCCTCACAAAGAGGATCCAGACTCGTACTGTACACTCTATAATTTCTCCAAGAGGAAAAGGATCCTCGTCGGATCATTTTCCTGGGGATCCTGTAATCGTGACCGTTATCTTATATCGTGAGGATCCAACTCGTACTGTATCACTCTATAATTTCTCAATAATTCTAATCGTACGATGTACGATAAAAGGTTATGATCACGAAATCTCTAGGATTCCTAGACAAATGATTCGGCCCTTTTCCCTCCAAGAGAGCAGTATGGCCTACTTCGCAAGAATGGTCCAACGTGGACTAAAGCTGACGTGTCACATCTCAGTAGAAGAAGCCTGAAAATATTTCAACCGCCACCACCTCCCCCGTCCCCTAATGTTAAAGAAAGAAACAGTCCGCTGATAAGACAAATCCGAGAATCGAACCCCCAAATTAAACCCCTTTTTTTCTGTCAGAACCCTAATTTTCCATCTCTGAAAGATTTCAGAACTAAAGCAAGAGAAGGAGAAGAAATGGCGGCGGTTCCGGTCGTCCGCTT